TCAGCTAACGGTCCCGCAGGTGGGCTCCTCCTTCTTGGAGCACCCGATGGACCCAATGGAGTGCAGCAAGAGCCCGAGCGCAGCGAGGTGCTCATCGATCTGGGTCACACGGGCCTACATTCAATGGGCGAGCGCACTCCACCACTCCCTCATCAAGTTTGACGAGTGCCGCCTGGGCCAGGTGGTTGTGAAGTCCACGACATTGTCAACGGACCTTCCCCTTCACCATTGGCATGATCTGCGTTGCAACCACGGGGCTCACCCCAGGGGGGAAAAGCTCAACTCCAGTGACCTCAGCCGGTACCCGGAGCAGATGATGCAGGGTCTCGCAGCGGCCATCCTTTGCCGAGCGGGACCCGTCCTGGAGGCGCTGAGGCCGGGGGGCACGGCGCCCCAGGCGAACCCAACGACCCCCCCGAGGCGGCAGAGGGAACCTTCTCCCAGCACGCCGGGGGACAACAAGCGCCAGTCCCGGAGGCTGAAGGCTGGCCAACAAGCGTTGGCAGGACTAACCTTGGGCTCACTTTCTCGGCCTCGGACAATCCGGAGGTCCGGACACCGACACAGAGGACTGGCAAGACGGACGAACTTGGGGGGGGAACTCTTTCCCCTGAGCCATGGGCACACCATGGCATGGAGATCTCGGATCGGCCCACCATCCTGCCGATCACGCACGACCCCAATCTCTCCGACAAGGTCATGTACCTCCAGATGGCCTTCAAACAGCGCCCCCTAAGGGACGGAGGAGGAAAGCCCTCATTGGGACGGTTGGCCCCATGGACCCGGCCACTGTCCAAAGCAGCAGCGATGGGGGCCAAGATCTGTGTCCTCACTTCGCCATGGGGGGACAAGCTCCAGGAGTCGCTCTCGTTGGGGGATGGGTCACATCCCTTCCCGGAGGACCTGCTGGAGGATATCAGGGAGATTCTGGCGCCGGGGGCAGGCCGACCAGCTGACGGCCAACCCTTCTTCCTGGACATCATTCAGGACCCCGACCACCAGTTTCCCCGCGATCTGGAGCAAGGGGTCCCACTGAATTTCACGGACCCACCCCTGACCTCGCCGGGCATCTGGCCACTCAAGAAGGAGCTGAAAGGGGAGGAGCCGGAGTTCCAGGAACTCCCTCACCCAACGGGCAGGGGTAACTACCCCTCGGCGGATCACTTCAGCGAGCTCATCCGGGGCACATTTCTGGAGGAGGTCCCCATGGGCATGGTGGAGGGCCCCTTCAGTAAGGTGGAGGCAGCATCGCGCTGTGGCTGCGAAATCGAGGACCTTTGTCCCGGCCCCCTAGCGGGCATCGACGAGGGGGACAAGATCCGCACGATCTACGATGGCTCGGTGGGAGGGGCCAATGACACCATCAGGAACCAGACGGTGGAAAGGACGACGGCTCCGACGGTGCTGGATGGGGTCCAAGCTCTTCATTGGCTACATGCGGCAGCTGCGGAGGGACCCCCCTCTCAGGGTGCCCCTGGCCCCGAGAGGGGGGTCGTCAAACCTCCACCTGGGGGCTGGCTATGGCCGGAGCCGGGCACCAGGTGGGTGCTGCTCAAGGCGGACGTCACCAAGGCCCACCGGAGAGTGAAGGTCCTCAGGAAGGACTGGCGGTTCCAGGTGGCCTCACTGGGGGAAGAATGGTGGGTGAACAAGGTAGGCACATATGGCATGGCCAGTGCCCAATCCTACTGGGGACGCCTGGCAGCCCTTCTACTCAGGGTCCTCTACGCACTTTTCCCTCAAGTGGATTGGAACTTCGTCTTTGTCGATGACTTCCTGTGGCTGCTTCGAAGCGAGGGGGCAGTAAACTTGGCGGTGGCGCTGCTGGCAACACTCCTGGCCTTGGGCACCCCGCTTAGCTGGAAGAAGACGCATTTGGCGGAGGTTAACACGTGGCTGGGTTTCGTGGTCCACCCGAACATCCCGCAGGTTCTCATGGCAGCCAACAAACACATCCTGGTTATGGAGGTTTTGCAGACCATGGTGGAAGGGCAGGCGATGCACTCAAAGGACATCGAGAAGGCCCTGGGTCGCATCCAATGGGCGACGGCTGCATGTCCGCTGGCGAAGTCGATGCTCCAGCCACTTTGGGCCTGGAAGATGGCCACCACCACGGTGGGGAAACCCCCCAAGGTGGTCAGGATGCTGGCGTTCATGCTGCGGTTCCTCTTCAACACGCCTTTCGTCCAGTACTCCCCTTACTTGCCGAAGTCCTCTTGGTGGGGTTGCAGCGATGCTAGCGCCTCGGACGAAGGACTGGCATTTGTGGGAGGTTGGTGCTCCAACAAAGTGGAGCCGGAAAAGAAGGAGGTGTACTGGTTCCACGAGCAGATCCACGTGGAGGAGTACCCTTGGGCTTTCAAGAATGGGGATCCCAAGCGGAGGATTGCGGCTCTGGAGATGCTGGGCACGCTCTTCCTCTGTAACATGATCCTCACGCACCAAGGCCCTCTGTCCTCCCGGGTCCGACTCCCGGTGGGCAGTGACAATCAGGGCAACGTCATGGCGATGCTCAACCTTGGATCCAAGAAGCCCTACACGGCGGCGATCCTGATGGAGCTGGTCTTCCTGCTCCACACCCATGGCTGCTCGCTGGCAGCCAACCACGTGCCCCGTGAATTCAATCAATGGGCTGATGAGCTGACGCACCCAGATTTCTCTGGGTTCGACCCTTTGCAAAGGGTCCCCAAGCAGGAACTCTGCGAGGAGTTCGTTTTTCTCCCGCGTCTCCTGAATGGAGATGCATTTGATCTTAGCGTGGGCCCACCCATGCTCCCGTGACCGGAGCCGGTGGGCGACTCACTTCCCCTGGTGGCAGACCCCCCTGTGGCCTGGGTGCCACGGGCCCCGGCTCAGGGGCGGGCGCTATCAGTCTGCACACCCGTTCTTCAGTTTTTGAGATTGTGAGTTGGGTGGCCCATGGGGCCCACCCAGCCTTTGTCATCTGACAGGGGAAGATGAGTCCCTGGCACCAACACACTGCTCGGATAAAAGAGTGCTTGTGTGTGGTGCCGTTTGGTTAGCTTGCATACACATATATATATATATATAATTATAACAGTGCGAGACTTCAAGCAAGCCAGGGAGCAAAGGACACCAGAAGCACAGGACTGATCGTGAGTGGCCTCTATTTTTGGACACTCATAGTTTGGCGTCGTTTTTGAAACGGACGCTGTGTTTAAAGATATAGTATTGAACAAAAGACACAGTTGTGGTCAGCCTCAGCACTTGTGACATGTGCATCCCGCGACTTCACCCGTTGGCTTCGGTTGTGGGGAATTTGAGGTCGTTTACCCTCCAACAACACTCACGAACCTCAACCATTGCAAGGGTTTTGTATAGCCTTTAGTTCCTCATTTCTTGCCTTTCGAACATGTGGAGTATCAAGGACCTTTCAAGATATCGCAAACGAGCATTGGGGGCGGCTTCATCATCCCTCCAGATGTTTGACACGTCCTTCCTCATGGTAAACACTCGCAAATCAATTATCTAGCACGCCCCAGACCAGTGTCACCATTTCACCAGTGACGTTTGCAAGCACCAGCGGTTTTGGTGTTGCATCCCAGTTTCTTAGTCAGAGCGCCTGGCCATTTTCGGGCTATTGGCAAGCAGTGAATCGCAGACGTTAATCGGGCTATCAATCGGTACCCTCCCACCAACTAACATGGAAGTGCAAAAAGGCCAACTAACCAAGAGGAAAGTAGTCTTTCTACAGGGGTCTGTGCACTTCGATGTTAGCTGGTGGGAGGGTAGTGAGTACAGACAAGTTTTGCCAAAGTCACGCCCTTTTCTGAAAACGGAAGGCTTGGGGAATACAGACATGTTTTTTTGTAAAGCACAGACTACGCTTATTCTAAGAAACACTGAGCCAGTACACAGCAATACGAAACTAATCCTAAACCAAGTCAGTACCGGGCCAGCTGCAAGGAGTACTAAATCGATTCGAATCCACGACCCCACAGTACTTGGAGATTCCTAGTTTCCGGTTTGTGAACTACAGTATTTTGTCCAACACGGATTCAACACAAGCACCCGGTTCCGGTGACCGCATCTGGCCGATCCATCACGGGCGCCCCCAGGGAAGGGGCCACTGATACAGGCGAGGTCACTGATTAATACAAGGTCTCGGGGGGATTGAGTCGCGGAAACGGCTAACACAAGTTATGCGGCAGCATGGCAGTTGCCCCCCCCACCGCCCCCACCCCCCTCAAGTAGTCTCTGACTGAGCACTGTTTAGTATTGCTCTTGTATTGGTGTTAGTACTGGCTTAGTATTGATTTGGTTTTGGTCTAGGTTCGCTTTGATATTGCATTGCTTAGTACTGCCTTGGCAAGATAATACTTTTCTCATCGGGGTATACGCTTAAACAAACCATAGATTGCAGTGAACATCGGGGGCTCGGCAGTACTCCCTGTTGCAAAGTTAGCCGGTGTCTTTCACATTTAGATGAAAAGTTGAGAGTTTCGGGGCACTGTTGTTTTGGGTTTTTGGCTTTGAGGTATGTAGAAGACAAATAATGATTGAGTACCCTCTTGCTCTTTGCGCGCGGTGAAGAAGTGTTGAACAAGTTTTCAACAGTTTCCTTTTTTGGGCAGACAATAAATCATAGTTGCACAACTTTATCCTTCATCAGTGCCCTTAGTATTTTCGATGAATCGGGCACCGACTTTACAGCACAGCGTGAAACATCAATCCATTTGCCTACGCACCTGGTTTGTCTAAAGGAAGATGCAGAATCCATCAAACTGGGTGCATTTTACTGTGGATGGTCAAAATGTGCCAAAATCAACTTCGCGCCACCTATATTGGTTGATAAGCCGCTAATCCCAACTAGCACCTGCCATCTGTTTTCCATCTACACTGCATTGTCCTAGTTACAATTGGGTAAAAATTGATGGCGCGCTTTTCTCGTTGCTGTTTTGCTTTCACCCCCCTTACCGTCACAGGAATTGCGGCATCTACTTTCGTTTGGGTTTTCTGTCCAACGAGTCCCTTGTCAGGGCCATGAACTCAGCGCCTGCTGCCACCTTGCGCGCAACCGCCATACCTAGCGAGGTCCGTCACTGCTTGTCGTGAGGTCGGCCCATTGGGGTAGTGTTGACCCCGGATCAATACACCCCTGGTTGATTTTGATTGGGGGGTGTCCCCTTTTAGCAGTGGGGATTTATCACTTTTGGAGGGGAGCACCCCCCTAATAATGGGACGGGTTCTACTTAGATCCTGGGTGAAAATTATGGTCATTTGGTATTGACCAAGGGGCTAGACTTCTGAACTTGGATTGTTTGATTGTTTCGCTTCCAAGCAAAGGTACACCAAAGGAAGCCGGAATAAATAGACCTGTTTGGGAGAAGCCAAAGGAAGCTCGCTGGTGTATTTCGCGGGGTGCCCTATGTTGCACAAAGAGAACATCGACGGACATAATTTGTTTGCAGGACCTCGCAGAAGTTGTAGCTTGCATCCTGGGGGCCCATGATGGAGGCACCTTTCATGAGGCCTCATGTTGGGTTGAAACATAAGAGTTCACCCAGACCAAACCATGTTGGTGCAAAAGAGGAACAAATGCAATCCATTTTAGGGGTCTCCTATTTCGAGAAACACCCATCAAGGATTCAATCCTTATCAAAATCAAACCAAACGCTAGAGACCATCAGAGGGATTGTGGCCACCAAGGTGGCAAAAAGCCAATCTGGATGTTGGGGTGGGGCTGTGTTGTCTCCCTAAGATGAAGTGAGCAAAGAATGCGGGATCGACACTTTGAACTCTGGCGTAGCGACTGCCATTATTTTTGTATGGGCTGTTTTCAACTAAACCAAATGCATGCCACGCTTGGCTTCCTCCATTTTCAAGTGGAACGTGTGGGTTCTCTGACATCCTTGAGGTTCCCGCAATTAAAGTACATGCAAACCAGGACGGTTCCCAAGCAAAGCTCCTGGAAAGTGCTTGCCAAAATTTATCCAGAATAGCGGGCATTGCTTACCGCAGATGACATCTTTGTAGATTTGCACACGACCCTTTTCGTGACAGCATAATACATAGTCCTAATTGCGAATCGTTGTTTTAATTATTCATGGCCAATTTTATATGTGACGGGGTTGAACCTTCGCGCAGGCTCGCCGCCAATTTGTACTGCGGAAAATGTAGGGTAAAGTATTGCATGCCCCCGTTTTGAGGGGTTCTGCTGCAATACATTCCCTTTTGTATCCCCTTTGTATGGTAAGCGGAGAGTCATTTATTCATTCGGGAAGGCGAGGGGGGTTAATTTCAGTGACTCTTAGTACCATCTGAAATTGTTCCGAAGCGCTCGGGCATGGATTCGTTCTGCTTTCAGACCCTCTACTGCAATCCCGCTGCTTTTGATTCAATGCCTTGGGTTTCATTTGCCTTCCGCACTTTCGCACAGACAGATGTATCGGGCCGGCCGTTTGGATTGAGTCCCTCTTGGTTGCGAAGGTCAAGCTTGGGCCCCTTTTGAGGTTGGGCGCCTTCTTCAAATCAACATGACACCGAGCAAGTTGAGTCGGATATCAAGAGGAGATTCCTCTGGTACTTGGGTTGCTCTCCGCATTAGTTTTCTTAAAAGTGTGTGAGCCTAGGGTTCCGTCAGTTTCCCATTGAACAATTGGGTCACTGGGTTCAGACCCGTTTTATGCTTTTCGATGTTTCCCATTGAATGTTGCCCCAGCTCCTCAAACACAAGGCTTTTCCCTTTGGAGCGTTCGGGCCAGGGTGGGTCCTGTTTAGACAACCTGGGCAACTTGTCACGCGATTCTGGTTGTTCGAGGTATGGTACTCAGAGGCAAGATCTTCCCCTTTGGGTTAAGACGCAGATTGGGGCGATTGTGCGGCTGCAAGAAGAAAAGGACAGATTAAGAGAGGCCATTTTTTACGGAATCTTGGGGCTCTTTGATGAATGGGGGCACCCATTCTTTTGCCTACAAATATCAGTCCGCCAAATGAATAGTTTCACGAAGATCCCCAAGGCAGAAGGACACCCGTTCCAAAATCATCGACTCTTCGGATTTTTCCGTGCAAGGTTTGTGCGATCGAATTCTGGGGCACTCTCTTCAACATTTTGCCTTACACAAGGCCCTTTTCCCCATTGAGGTTTGATGGGTTCCCGTTTGAAATTGATCCGACGGGAAGGTTTTCCCCTTTTTCCTAGCCATTCGGGTCTGGTGGGATGGTTAGGTTCATTCCCATAGTCCCTAAGAACTTGAAGCACTCAACTCCTCGTTAGGGAAGCTCTGGTGTTCCATTTGGTTTTGGAAAGCATGGGAACTCTTCTGCAACCAAACTCCGAACCTCCCCACCCTTTGTCCAGAACCCCAGGCTGTCGGTCTCGCCGGGTTTGCCACTGACCAGGGAGATCCCGTTTTCCCCTGCTCGCCGGGCCGCCGGGCTAGGCGAGCAACACCAGCCTGGCGGTGCCCAAGCGGTCCAAGTCCAACCTCACCAGCTCCGACAAAGGCTCCGGCAGCAACTCCCGCAGCACCTCGATGCTCGCGGCCCCTCGTCTCGGAAGCGAGGGGGTCGTCTTGGGAGGCGTGGTCTGCCGAACTTCCGAGGAAACAAAACGGGTCGGATCATGAAGTATATACGTTTTCACCATGTTCAAGCTTGCCAGACCTATTTAGCATCCAGGATGCCAGTTTCCACTCTTGTTCGGTTCGGGGGAATGAATGGGCTCCCCAGCTCCCCAGGATATAGGAATCACATCCAGGTTCATCGCTACACATGCGCGCAAGGGGGTCTATCAAATTCCTAGTTTGCAAAATTCTCGGACCCTTTGAATCATCCATGCGAAGACTTCGCATCTCTCAGGCCCTTGGGCCTTGAGTCGACCTAATTTACTAAACCGCTGGACGGCGGGGGCAAGGAAAGGATCCGCATTTGACAGCAAAACAGAGTTGTGAACTGTGTGAGTAGTCTCTCAGAAGTGGACATTTCAGCTGGATTTCCAATGTTTGGGAGCTTCTTTGAGCGCTGTTTTGCTTTGCAGCGGTCCTGATCCGCAGCACTTTCCATCCATCCTGTCAAAAACTGGTGGGCACGCCAACTACCTTTCAACAGCGGCCTTTGGTCGCGATCTTTTTTGAAACACTTCTGTGCACTTTCATGACTGGGGTAGACTTAGGATACATTTTACATTTTACCAGTGACTCGAAGTGAAGCAAACAACAAAATTATACATTCTATAACTGGCCCAACTCTAATCATGATGAAACTGTTGGAAAAGAGGTGTCTTGGACCTGCAAACGGGGCAGCGATTGATCCAAATCGGGGCGGGAAATTGGCGGGAAATGGGTGACCATGAGGAAAAGAAAGAGCAGAGCCTGACTGGACCGTTAGACAAACAATCTATACACGCAAACAAAACTTGTGCTGAAGCAGCAACGGTGTACTTAGTCTAACCCATCGCCTTACCGTTTGCAAATCCAGTACGGAGACTTTGTGTTTGTCGCTGTGTTCGATGACAAATTGCTCCCAAACACGCTATTGTTCTTTCATACCTGGATGGTGCCACAAGAGTATGGACAAGTTGTAGACAAACAAACTGCCCCTCCGTTTGAAACCACGAAGGTGCTGCACATTCGCAAGAGGGCTAAGGGAAATGCAACTTGGGCTCTTCTACAGGCGATTGCGAGTGGCTGCTGTGCACACGCGCAAATACAGTCGTGAAAACAACATAGACTTGCAGTGAATTAGAACTCTTGGATTTGCTAGTGGTGGTTCCCGCTTCCCCTTTTCCTTGACTGGGCCGATGATCCACAATCGCGCAGCTTCGTCTCAATTTCTCCAGCACGCAGAGGGCAGGGCAAGGGGGTTCTTGGACGGGCTGGGTGGGAGGTTCGTGAACCCGAGTGAATGAGTCACCCACCCTCTCCCCCGATGGATCAAGAAAGTTCCTTGCATGGAAGGGCTTCCCTGGAAAGGCTCGGAGTTCCGACTTCTGCCCTTGGGCAGTCCTTTGTTGCTGATGCCCTGTGTTTGGAATTTCTTCAAGAGAAAACCAGCCTCAAGGCATGAACATCTAGAAACATAGATGTCGGGAACAGCGAAACATCCGCCAAACTTGGGGCTGCTTGGGTATGTCACACAAATATTCGCAAAGGAACAGCAACCAGGAATCAAGCTAGCATACTTGGAACCTCGAATAGGAACAGCATCTTGCTTATTGCAGTCTTTTCCTGCTACTTGCTTGTTGGAGCGGAAATTCAGGAAATGCAACTTCCTGTGATTTGGCATGTTTCAGCAAGCCCTGCTGGACGAGTGTTGCGAACACAGCTGGGACATCAGAAAGTTCGGGAAACCCCAGGAAATCTACGAGAAATCTGCGGAAATCCGCGGAACCAGCAAAGCTGTGTTCCAAGCGTTTGTGACAGCTGTGTACTGGGACGCAATGCTAGGATTGAAAGCAAGCAGCCTTTAAGCAGAAATAGAAACGTTTTTGAAAGGAATAGTGTTTTGTTCTTCTCATGTCTTAAAACATTTGGGACATTCTTCCTTAGGAGTATGTAGGTCACAAAACGGTTTTGAGCCACAGGTCCTGGTCCATGATCAGGGGCCAAAAGCAATCTCCGTTTGCCAAGGATCATGGCCAACGGCATGCATCCAGGGTAGCGATTCACAATTTCCAGCTTGCCTAGTTTGCGGAACCCAGGATTCATGAAATCTACCCCTGGGTGGTTAGTATATAGGATGTGTTCCTTTTTTTTTCGAAGGTAGTATTCATTTCAGGTAGGGGAAGCACCCCAACCAACCCATCCAGCAGGTTTTGGTGTGTTTTATCTGGGGTCTGTTGCTGTCGCCATTTTTTGCGCAGGCGGACAGGCGGCGCACGCGGTCCAAGAATGAAGAGCTGTCCTTTCAGGAGGAACCCGAAGAGGCACCTTTTGGGTTTTTCTGAGGAATTGTGTATTGGGAGAACGCCCTTGAAAATGACCCAGAATGGTTCTATCCGGAAATGTGCCTAAATGGGGTCAATACCCAGTGGATGTATTCCCAGGGTGTAATACAGAAACCCTTAGAGTTTTTGACCATTAGCGAGCACCGATTGGATTTTGTGTTGTTGAATATCGATGGCTTAGTTCTGATGTTGGCTGGCTTTGGTTGAGCACGGATGGCTGGGTTCGGTTTTTGAGTTGGATTGGCTGAACACGGCAGGGTTGGTTCTTGCCATTCACCAGTGGCATCTATTGTGCCACAGGACCCTATAGTACAGGTTTGTGACTGGAATTGCGAAAACCTGAGTCGGTGCTTCAAGCTTTTAAAAGATCACCCAAACACAAGGCCAGAATATTGGTATAGCTTGCACAGGCCCGTGCGGTGTTCTTGGAAGCTCCATTTCACATGCGGATTAGTACAAGGAGCAGTTTCTTTGACGGGTGCAACCGCCTCTCCAGCTTTGTGGCCGTCACGGGTCCACGGAGTCGATCACGTCGTGGTTAAGATGATCATAAACTTTGCAGCTCACATTTTGCAGCCAACGCCCATACCCCGCAGTTCATGTTGAAAGCCTGGTGATGCAGAAAAGGCCAGTGGCATCAAACGAGTCGCTTGGACGCTCTTCAGGAGGGGGGCTTAGTGATGTTTAGGGTAGGCTAAGGGTTGGTTTAGGGTTGTTTAGGGTCGGAGGGTTGATTCAGGGTTGGTCCAATGTTGACACGGCTGAGTTTACAGCTGAGGGATGTTTAGGGTGGGTGAAGACGTGGCTTTAGCTTTTTGTAAAGGTGGCGCTGCAGGTGAGGTCCCGGCTTCGAGGGAGCACACCCAGGCCCCCCCCCAGTGCCCCTTTACCCTTGTTTTGGGGGGAGAGTTCCCCTACCCTTATTCTAACCTCTCAAATCTGGAGCACCTAGATGGGTGTGGCTCAAAATTAACCAGGAGGGGTTACGCAGGTTTTGGCCCATGTTTCCACTTACCATGTTTCCACTTACCAGGGTTCCATTTTGGTACCGGTTTTTGAGCCACAGCCCGATAGCCTTCATGGGCGTAGCCGTCAAAAAAAATCGCCAGATGGCCATCGCCCCGCTGCCTTCGGAGCGCTTCGGCCCCCTGCCCTCGGAGCGCTTCGGCCCGCGGCCCTCCGCGCCCTTTGCCAAGCAGTCCGAGGCGCGGGAGGCCGCACGCTTTCCCTCCCAGAAATGGATTCCTCCCCCAGCTAGGTGCCCTTTTACCCCTTTGTTTTTGCCCTTTTACCAACTTTTTTGGGTTGGGAGGGTTCCCCTACTCAAATAGACGTCCTGAAAAGTTGGTACCAACTTATTCTAGCCTCTCTAATGGAACACCTGGTGGAGCACCGGAGGGTGCCTGAAAGGTCCATTTCCTTTTGAAGGCCAGACACTTGGTAATGTGATTTGGGAGGGTCGAGCAACTTGTTGCAGCCAATTGCATGAGGGATATTTTGGTGGTATTGAGTGGCCATTGGTTCGATTGAAAGTGGCAAAGCAGATTGTCAAGAACCGGTCAAGCAGGGTTCTGTGGCCGCCCGATTTTTGGGTTGCACCTTAAGCAGGTGTCAATCCTGGATTGAAAGCCCAAAAAGGGGGAGGAGAGTCCAGACCTGGACTAGAAATGGGAGAACTATTTGCGAGAACCAAAGGCGCGAACTGGGAGAACCATGAAGGAGCCCAGTGGTTCGCTTTTGGTCGACCCATCAACACCGCTTCAGGGCCTGGGGGAGACCGGCTTCGGCGAGCGCACGCCCATGGGCCCCAAGCCCAGCGACAACTTCCGCGGCTCGGAGTGAAGAGGAGGGCGGTGGGTTCCAAGCAAACGTGCCTCCCAGGCAATGCAAAAAAATGTTTGGAAGTAACCTGATTTCTTGGAGGGCTCCGAAATCTTGGATTTGGATGTCTTTTCGACTCAGGTTGTTTTTTGTTTCAAGGGGCGGTGCCAAATGAAAAAAGGAGCGTGTCCCAATTTGTGTACAGTCATCGCTTCAGTGTTAATTTTCAATGGTAGCATTCGAAGCTTGATTTGGGTCTGGTTTTTTTGGAGGCCTCTTTGTGCATTGTTAGCCAAAAGGAGAACCACCATTATGATTGATTTTTGAGGTTCCTGGTAGCTCTTTGAAAAGAGAGACCTACCAGATTTGTTACTTACGCACCTTCCCCTTGGCGGTGCATTTCACAGGAAATAGAGAGCAAATTGACCAGGAGAAAGCCACAGGTTTTTCGGGGCAACTCGGCAAACAGAACACAGCTTTCCCGGCCAAGGGATAGAAGCCTGCAATCAAAACGAAACACGAATCCCCATAAAGAGGAAACCCGTGGCCTTGTTGGCGGAAGCCCTCCCGAAAGCAGGGGAACCACCTCTCTATGGCGAAGGAAACCACGGGAAACGGGAGAACACATGGCTTGCCCTTCAGTTGGTCGGAGATGTACCACCAGACAAGAAAGTGGTTTGGTGGGTTGCACCAAGACCTGATTAGATTCATGTGTTGCCAAGCTCACTGCCAACACATATGCACAAACCAACACTTCCTGGAACGACAATTTGAAGAGGCACAAATTACAAACACTCTTTGGACTTTGTTGAAGCTCCATGAGCTTCCCTCCAGGAGCTGAGGAGGTTCCAAGGCCTAAGGGTTTGGGCCTCGGTTGGGGCCACACAAGACCAAACAAGGCCCTTTAGGGGAGGTTGTCTTGGGGGCGGTGTATCGATTCCTGCTTGTCAGCTCGTCGGGAATGGCATGCAGCCAAGGACTGGTGAAAGCAAAGAGCGGGCTGTCTTTGAGGTCTTTGCATTCTCGGATGTCGCATCAGGACTGCCGGTGTTCCACATGTTCTTGAGGCAAGGCCATGCAATGAACGCCCTAAACACATCTTCCCTAAGACTCATGACCCCTCCAATGAAGGCCCCGGGGCCCTCCAATGACGAACCCAGCCCTCAGGGCCCCTGGAAAACAAAACCCATTTTGAGAGTCCAACAATCATCGGGAGCCTAATTAGGGTTGAAGATTGAATGTGCCGGGGGAAACGCATTCGCTGACCTTTGCAAAACCAACCTCAATCACCTAACCACGCACACACATTAGTCCATGAGCTCGGAATCAACCCGGATTATTTCTGGGTATGTTCGATGCCGAATCCATCTGTGGATTTCAGCAACTGCTCGACCCCTTTTGCACTCTTTCAGCACTCTTTTAGCACTTTGCAAGGGGGCATCCGCAGATGGGGCATCAAAAGCAACCCTAGATTGTATTAGGGGTGGTCCCATCAAGATGAAGAAGCCCATCCCTGGACCTTCCTGGGGTCAAAATTTTAGGCGTTGGCCAACAAACAGCCAACAAACACGTGTTTTTGTGTCGTTAACGTGAACAAAACATGCTTTTAGGGCAAGAAAAACGCCGGCCGTATTTGTCTGCGCCGCCGTGGTCGGGGATGTTCGCCTGTTGGCGAGGATTGGTTTCGCCTGTTTGTTGGGCATTTTCGCCGGTCGATTAGGGGGAATTGCGCTTATCACAACTTACCACCCAAATTGAGCGCAAAAACAGGCCGTAGGTAAAAAAACACCCGCAATTGAGCCCCAAAAGACAATTCGTAGCGAAGAGGCGGAAATGTTGAGCATGCAGGCAGGTCCAGGTCTAAAGTAAGAAACCCTGCGTAAGTCAGCCATGGGTTTATTTGCTCTGTGCTTTTATTGGAGGACGGGTGCTGAATTTTCCATCTACTGGATTGAACGAAAGCAGTGCAGAGGGTGGATGGCCGTTTGTGTTGCAACAAGATATCATATGTTTGCCTGTACCAGCCAGCCTTTCTTGTGAGAATATCTGGCCGCACTGGAACACTGGAAGCTTGACATCATGCAGTCGTCCAAACATAAAGCCTGCAATGCTGGGTTCCAGTTCCCTCTCAGTTTTTTAATGACGTTTGCCCCTGCTTACTTACCTGGCAAGGGCCCCTCAGGGCCCATGGACTCACCCAGACTAAGTCTTTTGGCTGTGCATATCCCTTGCGGATCAGCTCGCTTCCACCCGACGTAAACTACAGGCTATTGTTCGACCAGTTGTGCAGCGGCACCCTTTGGCCGTTGAACACGAATCCGGAAAGGATCCTTTTCAATTTTCGGACATCCCCCCCCATCTGGAGCGTTCTGCAATCATGGTTGGTGTGCGCACCATTTTGCATAGAATTCAGAGTTTCCTCTTGGTTTCTTTTCACCGCTGTAGGGAAACTATGTTGTTGTTTGATCTTTGTTTCTGCAATTGTTGTTGGTTGAAACACCATTTCCAGTCATGTCCATGTCCGAAAATTGTGGGGCACCTTTTGTTGCCTCTGAACCATTTTTTGCAGGTTCCTTCCCTCTTCCCAACAATCATTCAAGTGTGCTCCGGAAGCTTCCCTAAGAAAGTAGTCGAAAGCCCGGATCGTCAGCTTCTATTGTCGAACCGAGGCCGAAGTTTCATGCCAGCTTTCCAGAAGGAAGACATCTCCCTTTGTTTTCCAGTTGATTTCTTTTTTTGATTCCCTTTGTTTTCCCGTTGATTTCTGTTTGATTCCCTTTGTTTTCCAGTTGATTTCTTTTTTTGATTCCCTTTGTTTTCCCGTTGATTTCTGTTTGATTCCCTTTGTTTTCCCGTTGATTTCTGTTTGATTCCCTTTGTTTTCCAGTTGATTTCTTTTTTTGATTCCCTTTGTTTTCCCGTTGATTTCTGTTTTATTCCCCTTTGTTTTCCCGTTGATTTCTGTTTTATTCCCTTTGTTTTCCCGTTGATTTCTGTTTGATTCCCTTTGTTTTCCAGTTGATTTCTTTTTTTGATTCCCTCTGTTTTCCCGTTGATTTCTGTTTGATTCCCTTTGTTTTCCCGTTGATTTCTGTTTTTGATTCCCTTTGTTTTCCCGTTGATTTCTGTTTGATTCCCTTTGTTTTCCCGTTGATTTCTGTTTGATTCCCTTTGTTTTCCAGTTGATTTCTTTTTTTGATTCCCTTTGTTTTCCCGTTGATTTCTGTTTTATTCCCTTTGTTTTCCAGTTGATTTCTTTTTTTGATTCCCTTTGTTTTCCCGTTGATTTCTGTTTGATTCCCTTTGTTTTCCAGTTGATTTCCTTTTTTGATTCCCTTTGTTTTCCCGTTGACTTCTGTTTGATTCCCTTTGTTTTCCAGTTGATTTATTTTTTTTGATTCCCTTTGTTTTCCCGTTGATTTCTGATTGATTCCCTTTGTTTTCCAGTTCATTTTTTGTTTTTTGATTCCCTTTGTTTTCCAGCTGATTTCTGTTTGATTCCCTTTGTTTTCCAGTTGATTACTTTTTTTGATTCCCTTTGTTTTCCCGTTGATTTCTGTTTGATTCCCTTTGTTTTCCCGTTGATTTCTGTTTGATTTTTTTTGTTTTCCAGTTGATTTTTTTTTGATTCCCTTTGTTTTCCCGTTGATTTCTGTTTGATTTCCCTTTGTTTTCCAGTTGATTTCTTTTTTTGATTCCCTTTTTTCCCGTTGATTTCCCCTTTGTTTTGATTCCATTTTTGATTCCCCAGTTTGATTTTCCCGTTGATTTCTGTTTGATTCCCTTTGTTTTCCAGTTGATTTCTTTTTTTGATTCCCTTTGTTTTCCCGTTGATTTCTGTTTGATTCCCTTTGTTTTCCAGTTGATTTCTTTTTTTGATTCCCTTTGTTTTCCCGTTGACTTCTGTTTGATTCCCTTTGTTTTCCCGTTGATTTATTTTTTTGATTCCCATTGTTTTCCCGTTGATTTCTGTTTGATTCCCTTTGTTTTCCCGTTGATTTTTTTTTTTGATTCCCTTTGTTTTCCCGTTGATTTCTGTTTGATTCCCTTTGTTTTCCAGTTGATTAGTTTTTTTTGATTCCCTTTGTTTTCCAGTTGATTTCTTTTTTTGATTTCCTTTGTTTTCCCCTTGATTTCTGTTTGATTCCCTTTGTTTTCCCGTTGATTTCTGTTTGATTCCCTTTGTTTTCCAGTTGATTTATTTTTTTGATTCCCATTGTTTTCCCGTTGATTTCTGTTTGATTCCCTTTGTTTTCCAGTTGATTTCTTTTTTTGATTCCCTTTGTTTTCCCGTTGATTTCTGTTTGATTCCCTTTGTTTTCCATTTGATTTCTTTTTTTGATTCCCATTGTTTTCCCGTTGATTTCTGGTTGATTCCCTTTGTTTTCCAGTTGATTTCTGTTTGATTCCCTTTGTTTTCCAGTTGATTTCTTTTTTTGATTCCCTTTGTTTTCCCGTTGATTTCTGTTTGATTCCCTTTGTTTTCCCGTTGATTTCTGTTTGATTCCCTTTGTTTTCCAGTTGATTTCTTTTTTTGATTCCCTTTGTTTTCCAGTTGATTTCTTTTTGAATCCCTTTGTTTTCCAGTTGATTTTGTTTTGTTTATTCCCTTTGTTTTCCCGTTGATTTCTGATTGATTCCCTTTGTTTTCCAGTTGATTTCTGTTTTTGATTCCCTTTGTTTTCCAGTTGATTTCTTTTTTTGATTCCCTTTGTTTTCCAGTTGATTTCTGTTTGATTCCCTTTGTTTTCCAGTTGATTTCTGTTTGATTCCCTTTGTTTTCCAGTTGATTTCTGTTTGATTCCCTTTGTTTTCCAGTTGATTTTTTTTTTGATTCCCTTTGTTTTCCCGTTGATTTCTGTTTGATTCCCTTTGTTTTCCAGTTGATTTCTTTTTTTGATTCCCTTTGTTTTCCCGTTGATTTCTGTTTGATTCCCTTTGTTTTCCAGTTGATTTCTTTTTTTGATTCCCTTTGTTTTCCCGTTGATTTTTGTTTGATTCCCTTTGTTTTCCAGTTGATTTCTTTTTTTGATTCCCTTTGTTTTCCAGTTGATTTCTTTTTTTGATTCCCTTTGTTTTCCCGTTGATTTCTGTTTGATTCCCTTTGTTTTCCAGTTGATTTCCTTTTTTGATTCCCTTTGTTTTCCCGTTGACTTCTGTTTGATTCCCTTTGTTTTCCAGTTGATTTATTTTTTTTGATTCCCTTTGTTTTCCAGTTGATTTCTGTTTGATTCCCTTTGTTTTCCAGTTGATTTCTTTTTTTGATTCCCTTTGTTTTCCAGTTGATTTCTGTTTGATTCCCTTTGTTTTCCCGTTGATTTCTGTTTGATTCCCTTTGTTTTCCAGTTGATTTCTTTTTTTGATTCCCTTTGTTTTCCCGTTGATTTCTGTTTGATTCCCTTTGTTTTCCAGTTGATTTTTTTTTTGATTCCCTTTGTTTTCCCGTTGATTTCTGATTGATTCCCTTTGTTTTCCCGTTGATTTCTTTTTTTGATTCCCTTTGTTTTCCAGTTGATTTCTGTTTGATTCCCTTTGTTTTCCAGTTGATTTCTTTTTTTGATTCCCTCTGTTTTCCCGTTGATTTCTGTTTGATTCCCTCTGTTTTCCCGTTGATTTCTGTTTGATTCCCTTTGTTTTCCAGTTGATTTCTTTTTTTGATTCCAGTTTTGCCGTTGATTTCTGTTTGATTCCCTTTGTTTTCCAGTTGATTTCCTTTTTTGATTCCCTTTGTTTTCCCGTGAGTTTCTGTTTGATTCCCTTTGTTTTCCAGTTGATTTCTTTTTTTGATTCCCTTTGTTTTCCCGTTGATTTCTGTTTGATTCCCTTTGTTTTCCAGTTAATTTCTTTTTTTGATTCCCTTTGTTTTCCCGTTGATTTCTGTTTGATTCCCTTTGTTTTCCAGTTGATTTCTTTTTTTGATTCCCTTTGTTTTCCCGTTGATTTTTGTTTGATTCCCTTTGTTTTCCAGTTGATTTCTTTTTTTGATTCCCTTTGTTTTTCAGTTGATTTCTTTTTTTGATTCCCTTTGTTTTCCCGTTGATTTCTTTTTTTGATTGGCATTGTTTTCCCGTTGATTTCTGTTTGATTCCCTCTGATTTCCCGTTGATTTCTGTTTGATTCCCTTGAATTTCCCGTTGATTTCTGTTTAGAGTTTAGACCCCATTTAACACGGGGGCTGGACCTGCCTCGAGCCTCGAACCTCGCAGGAGAGCGAGTTTGACGCCATAGATCCGCAGGAGCCCGTGCCAGGGCAACTGGGCTGAGGGTGGTCGTTTGCCCAGTGAAGCCAAACCCTGGCAGTTTGCCAGGGCAATCATCCATGGCCATGGAAACTGGAAGGTGTGCAGCAGGTTTTGCTGGGGGTGCTGTTCACGACCCCTCACGGTTTTGCAGGCACCCGCCGCACTGCGCACGCTGGGTAAGCACATCCGCCACATTGCACACGCTGGCTTGCCAAATGCCGTTCCGGTGCCGGTGCCGGCACATAGAGCCGGACAAAAAAGCATTATCGCGGAGAAGCTGGCAAAATTATAAGCACGCGTGCCACTCTGCGAACGCTGTGGGCTGTGCGCAAGCTGGCCAAATGAGAAGCAAACCCGCCACACTGCACGCACCGGGGACTGCACACAAACAGGCCAATCTTGCCCGGAGTCCGCCAAGCACGTGATTTTCCTGGAGGTGTAACCTTGGACCTGTTTTTTGCACGAGCTTGGCAAGCTCGCCAAGGAGCGCTCGAGTCAGTGATTCAAGGTGTGCGCTTCCCATGCATGTGCAGTGGCCTAACACTGTGAGGCATCCACGAAAATGAGCGTTGCGCTGATGCGAAGCTAAAACGAGCACAAAAGCCTTGCAAATGCTGGGCGGTTGAGGCATGTGGATTTCAGGTCATTTTGTCTTGCGCACGCGGGGCAGTGTTTCAGGCGTGCCCAGTCCTTGAATACGTTCGAACAACGCGGGGTCACTAACAACGGCAATACCTAGCTTTTCCTTTGACCACCTACGTTGTTTGCGGCAACTCAACTGAAAACTGGCACGCGCACGTAGTTGGAACCCTGATGCAGGCTTTCGGACCACTGATTGCAACTGGCTTGGCCTCTCTTAGTGCGTCCAATCTTTCCTGCTTCGAATTTCCACCTATGTCTTATTGTTTTTTTGGCCGTGCATCCCATCTTTTGCGCTTCGAATTTCCACCCCTATGTTCCAAGAAACATTGGTTGTTTTTGGCTGGAAAGGTTTCGAATGCACTTCCCAGGCACTGGGATCTCAACCAGACGGGTGTCATCCCGGTGGCCGTGTTTCTGGGCCTATGGACGGCCTGCGCCTGCGTGGTGCTCTTCGCCATGGTCTACATCTACCGCTTCCAGGAGCCCCAAAAAGCACCAGCTCGCGAGCGCGGATTCGCGCGGATTCGCGCGCGCTCCTAGCTCCTCCAGCCAGTGGACACACTTTAATTACACTTTGTTCCTGGGTGGCTCTCCCTCCTTACTAGTGGTGGCCCAAAAAGTGTACACTTTGTTTTGGCTGGTCACTGGCCAAGTGAGTCTCATAGGTGTCCTTTTTAGGTTAGTTTGGTTAAAAATAGATGGGCTCCGCTGGCTTAGATATAGTTTTTCCAGCTACCAGGGCCATCTATTTTCCAAAAAGGACACCTATGCGCGTGTTGTTTACCGGCTTTCGTGGGAGGGATGGTTGCCCAGAACGGATTGCGCGTGTTGTTTGATGCCCGCTTTGTGGGGCTGGCTCCCTGAGGGATCCCCGTTCCCTTTGTGGTTTAAGCAGAGATCTCACGGGGACAACCTCCCACTTCCTGGGGTTCCCAACATTTTGACGCGAGAGATAGCGCATCCGGAAGTCGAGTGGCGGAACAGCGAAAGCAGAGATAGCGAGTGCGTGCGGTATGTGTGTGTGCAATTTGTTTGAGGGTGTGGTTATGGTTTAAGTTATTTTTCCGTTTTGTCTTCTTCCTTTTTTTTCTGAGGAACATGCCAATGTGGGGTGTGGCTCCTTTTCCGAGGAGACGGGTCGGGTGGAACCAGATCCTAGATGGCCATGTAAGTCCATGGTTTCGACAATAGCTAAGGTTGCGTGGTCGTTTTTTGGAGCTGTTTTGACTGGCCAGCAGAAGACTCGATGGCTTAATTACGGGTCTGATTCTGCAGGCATGTTCGCCTTTGTGGTCGATTGTAAGCTCCTCCCAGTGCTTACACTTTGTGTTGGAATGGGTAGCCAGGCAGGGGGAACCATCATTCAAAACCAGAAGCCCGCGCGTTTCCCAGGGCAAGCTTCAGTCACATGTTAGTGGGCAAAGGGGAGGATTTCTTGGTCAAGTGCCGGCAAGGAAGTGCTGAAGAGCTACCAGCTTGCGGAGGAGTCTGATGCTCGGCGAAAGAATCCATTTTCAACGCCTTCAGTTCACCAGTGCCCTGATTGTCCATTTTCATTCTTGATTCTTCACCAGAGCCACAATCACAACCTGGGTTGATGAAGGTTAGTAGGGGACAATCCCAACCATAAATAGCTGCGGCCGCCTTCTTGATTCTTTACATGGTTCTCGGTCGACCATTTTAGTACCGGGCTTTGATTATGACTCATCAGGACATAGCCAATAAGAAGGTGCCATGTCTTTCTCACTTTGCCACCAGGCAGCAAGGAGCCATTTCCCCACTCTAATAGGGCGCGGTTTGCATTGAAGATTTGTTGCGAGTGGAGTATACTCCCGTTGACATAAAGCAGCGAGGTGGCGCTGGGTTCCATTGAAGTTGTGGAAGTTGTGGTTTCAGAGTGCTCCTCGAACATAAGAAGCTGGCCGAATACCTTTCTCCAAATGACAATTGCGCGTGAAATGCAGTTTCCTAATTTATTATTCATACGTACGGTTGGCTATCTTTTATCTGTATGTCCTACCCCCCTGCAAACAATAACATGGAAACCCAAATATGCTATGTTGGGGCTTTCACAAAGTAGTTGGTTTCCTTGGGTTGTCTCGGGTTTCCCTTTAAAACAACGCACCAGGAGGAGCACGCTTTTTCGTCCACAAGCCATAAGGAGGATCCCCTTTTCCTTTGGTTGTCCCGGGTCTCCGTCGCAGGCGCTGGCGCACGCCCAGCTGGTGGCCACAGACCTGCTGCTGCCTGCCGTGGCGGCGGTGGACGCCATACAGGCGACATACGACCCGCCAACCGCTAGGGAAGTGTCACTTTTTGGGAGCCCCCCCCCCATCGAAAATGCCCCCCAAATACCAGTAGAAAAGGCGAAGCCGGTGGGCGGAAGTTTCTAAATCGAGAAGAGTGCCTATAGGAAGAGCTTGGCTTGTTTGCTTGTGGGTTTCGCTCTTTCTTTGTCTCTTTCTGTTCTATTTATTTATTTATTTATTTATTTATTTATTTATTTATTGTCTTTCTTTATTTCTGTATTTTCTTTCTTTATTTCTGTCTCTAGTTCTTTCTTTATTTATTCTTGTCTTTCTTTCTTTATTTGTTTCTTTCTTTTTTTGTATTTCTTTCTTTCTTTTTTTCTTTCTTTCTATATTTCCTTCCTTCCTTCCTTTCTTTCTTTATTTATTTCTGTCTTTCTTGCTTTCTCTCTTTCTTTCTTTATTTATTTCTGTCTGTAGTTCTTTCTTTATTTATGTTTGTCTTTATTTATTTATTTATTTATTTATTTCTTTCATTATTTTCTGTTATTTTCTTTCTTTATGTATTTAGTTCTTTATTTATTTGTTTCTTTCATTCTTTATTTCTTTCTTTCTTTATTTCTCTCTTTCTTTCTTTCTTTGTTTCTTTCTTTCTTTCTTTCCTTTTGCTTTCTTTTTTGTTTTGTTTCTTTCTTTCCTTCTTTCTTTATTTCTTTCTTTCTTTATTTTTCACTTTATTTATTTCCTTCTTTCTTTGTTGTTTCTTTCTTTGTTTCGATCTCTATCTCCTTATTTTTTCTGTATTTCTTTCTTTCTTTATTTCTTTATTTTGTTGTTTCTTTCTTTGTCTTTGTCTTTCTCTTTATCATTATTCCGTTCTTTCTTTCTTGCTTTCTATCTTTCTTTCTATCTTTCTTTATATTGATTTATTTATTTCGTTCTTTCTTTATTTCTTTCCTTCCGTTTCTTTCTTTCTTTCTTTCTTTCTTGTCTTTCTTTCTTTATTTGTATTTATCTTTATCTTTCTCTTTCTCTTTCTCTCTCTCTCTCTCTTTCCATTTGGTTTATCTATCTATCTATCTATCTATCTATGTATCTATCTATCTATCTGTCTATCTATCTATCTATCTATCTATCTATCTCTCTATCACCTGACCTTGCGAAAGTGTTGTGCCTGCCACGAAATCTGCACTCGGCTTTGCGAAAATACTGTGCCTGCCACGAAATCTGCACTTGACCTTGCACGGGCACAAAACATTGCGCATGCCACGAAATCTGCACTTTAGGTTGCCAAAGTGCTGCGCCTGCCACGCAAAATTGACCTCCGAGAAACCTCCGAAACAGTCTGCGCGGCCGTGCCAGTGGGCAACATTCCGCCCCCATGGCGAGACCGTGGCGAACCCGTGGCGAACCCGCACGCAGAACAGAGGTACCCTTTGCAATTCTCCGTGCTGACTTCACTTCTGAGTGCGTCCAGATCTTGTGACTCAACTTTCCTATTGCGGAAGTTGTCTTACTAAACTTCCTTCGATAAATATATATATATATATATAGATATAGTATGTATATATATATATATGTATATGTATATATGCACATGCATATATATATATGTTAATACGTAATTACATGTAAATATACATACATATATATGTATATACATATATACACAAGTAGAATGTGGTTTTCTTTTTGGTTTCTGTTTGGAAACACCAAGCAGGGGTACTGTAGAATCAAGGGCTGCCGGTTTTTTCCCAGCTGAATCCGACTAAACAAGCTCCGTGGTTGGGGTGGTTTGGAGGGTTGTGGGCACTGCCTGGGCTCATTTTTCAGCTTTTGGTTGGAGAACTCCAGTTTTTTGCCCATCGGAAACCTGAAGGTTTGGCCGTATATTGAGCCGTAGCTGGGGGAGCTGTTGACCATGTCACGACTTTCCCATGGCTCCCCTTGGGTGAATCGTAGTGCCTTGCTCGACTTTTTCTCCGGGCCCTTCGGCCAGCGGCCCGGAATTTCTGGAGCAGGGGCGAAAAGCTGCGACTATGGCTACGGCTTTGCGATTGAAAGTAACACAGTTACTGGCTTTGAACACCAGCCCCGTGCTTTCGGCTACCGTTGCAGTAGGTAACCAGTGGAAATCATGATGTAAGCCGGACCCTGGTTATCTATTATAGTGGCAACTGGAAGCACTGGGAATTGAAAATGAAACGCCAAACAAAAGTGAGCACTGGGAGAATGCGAGGCAAGGGTTCCTTGGATTTCAGGCACACAACTTGCGGCCACGCGCCCGACCAGCAGCCACGAAAAAATATAATCGTTTATTGAAGTTCGGCATGGGTAAAACAGTTGGGCACACCAGGGCGGCCAAAAATGATTACCAACTAGGGATGAGAACGATGGTTTCTTTGTTGCGCTTCCTTTTTTTGGTCAGTTGATTGTTTGCCATGTGGTTGCCAATTCCCCTTTCGTGGTACCTTTGTGTTCAGATGTGTCTCTCGAGCGAGGCAGGATGGCGCCTGCCTGAGATCAATCACGATTATATATTCCGTTGCCTTCCGTTGTGAGCAATCGCATGAACTGATGTTGTTCCAGTTCTTCAGGGACCTGTCAATGATTAGAACCTTGTACAGTCAAAGAAGCCCAGTCAGCTGCGTGCGTGTTGTTTCTGGACATATCGGCACTTGTCTTTCCCAGTGCCTCCAGGCAAGCCATTGCAGTGGGTAACCAGGGGAAACCATCCATTGTAATTAGGCGATTTAGACTTTGACGCAGAGTTTATGGCACCCCCACTCAAAAGAACCGGCCACTTTACAAACTATGGTGTTTCGTCTTCAAGTAGGAGAACCCTCTGAATGGGTGGTATCAATGCGTGTCAGTTTTGTGGTTTCTCCGTAATACGACCAGGGTCAGGGACATGCGGCTCAGGCGGCGTTGGCGGGGTCGGTGCTGCGAGACCTTTCGGACTACTCCACTGTGCTGAGGAGTGGTGGGGGAAGGGAACCCGTTTGTTCAATCCCATTTGCTTCAAACCTGGGTTGGACAAACTATGTTTAAACGATCAGCCCCTGGCCCGGTTCAAAGGCAACCAAAAGGAGGCTGTTTGAATAGAATGTGTTTGCACATGTTTGAACAAGGGGTTGGCCAACCCTTCAAACCCTCATGTCACCAGCTAAGATCGCTTGGGAGCCAGGAGTGTTGTTTATCACTCACCTGTTTTTACATGTGTTAAGCTATGTTTCTACCTTAGCCAAACCATGGAAATAATATTTTTAACCCTCAATTTCTCGTCAGCTGGGCATATTCAATGGGGCTGATGCCCAGAAAGATCTGCAATGCAACGGAGTTCACGAACGAGTTTGTACTTGTTGTTGTTTGGCCTTCGGCGGAAGATTCGCGCAGGGTGCAGTTGGACAATCTAGCAAACTTCGACAGGGCTCCTTAAAAGATACATTTTGCCCAATTGAAACATGTTTTTTCCGCCAAAATACAGGGACGCTACCATTTATAAGGCAATGTTCAGGTGCATAATGTAATGATCTCTGGTCGAACTGGCAGTTTATCTACATACCTGTTTCCATGTTTGCGAGACCAGACTCTTTCGCAAGCCTTTCGCGACTCCATCCCCACGCCTTTTTGCTTGCAGCGTGCGCTCTGGAGCCATTTTGGCTGCTGCAGTTATGCTTGCAAACACTGTAACCACGACGAGCAGTTGGCTTGCGCTGGCAGGCTTGCAACTGCGTTACATGAAAGCAGTCACTATAATTTGCCCTGGGTACTTCCCTTGCCGGGACTGCTGCGTCCTTGGTGCAATGTGTTGGTTTGCACCATTCCCAGCACAGGCAGGAAATCAAGGATGCAAGTGCAGGTGCTGCACATCTCCCTGTCTAGAAGAGACTGGGGTCTGCCAATATTTAAGTGCACAGCCATACCTCCAATAGTAAGGCGTTATCGACATTTTTGACATTGTTCGTTCGCACGAGCTGAGTTTGTTTCTTCATTTTCAAATGGGGTAAGCTACGCGAAGGAACGAAGTTTCCTGAGCCCGAGACTCCATTCCCCAAACAGAATGTGAACCTGTGTGGAAACTAAGCACCTTTCCTTTTGGACTGCCGTTCGTTTTGCTTCCTTTCACCCGTTGATTGCCAGGGGAGTGTCCCCTTCAAGCGGGCGTCCTGCATGTTTGATGCAAAACTCCGCATCCGCCAAATTGGTGTATCCGGGGTTGATACATCACCCAACTAGGACCAACATGGGGGCTTCAACAACCCCAAAAAGAGTTTACTTCAGCCCCAAAGATTGGTGTCCAGTTTCTTCCTTCAGCCAGCCCCAAAACTTGGTGTCCAGTTTCTTCTTTCCAGCGATTTCAGTTTTGAGCTGCTGAGGATCCTGCGCCCACACTTTGAGGGGCGGCACATTCTGGAGGAGGCGCGGAACAGAAACCGAAAGGGCTTGGAGATCCGCGTCACGGTTACTGTTTCAAGGGCGCCCTCTGGAATTTCGCGCAAGTACACCAATTCGTCCGTTTGGGTTGGGGCGTGTCTTATTTGCATCATACAGAAACCATTGGGTGTTACATGTTCAATAAGGTTCTGCTCCAGTGAAAACGGATTCCGAGTCTTAAGGAACCCGGCGATCAGCTTTTCTTTTGGTCGCGAACGTTTAGTGGTTCTTTTTTGGCATGACTCAGCATACAAAGCGCGGGAACCACGGTGCTCTTGCATGAGCTGACCACATCAAATTGCATGACAACCTCAGGGAACTTATCCAACCATTGAGGGCCATCAGCCCAAGTAAGGGAAACCAAGCAACCATTCAAGGAAAACTGCCGAGCATGCAGGGGAAACCAGCCATTTAAGGAAAGCCAGCTATCCACAAAGGAAAGCCAACCGACCATGAAAGGAAGCCAGGCACCAGCGTAAGTGACAATTTTGCTTCGAAGGGGATCCGAATCTGACGTCCCCCATACTAAGCGAATTCTATCCCAGGGCAGCCAATGCAGAAGGACTGGAGCCAATACCAAGTCAATGCTAAACCAGAACTAAGCCAATCCTAAACACTTACTAAGCCGGTACCGAAGACCTTGTTGGGTTTGGATTATGTTGGCAAATACAAAGTTCCAGGACTCTTTTTGGCTCCACTCAGGAAGTGAGACTAGTCTTGGGGTAGACGCCTTACATATGACACTAGGTCCCCCAGTAGTGCCCTTCTCTCCCCCTTTTTTCGGGGAGGGTTCCCCTACTAAAATAGACAAACATGAAAAAGTGGGCACCCTTATTCTAACCTCTCTACTGGAGGACCTAGCCCTACAGATGGCAAGTCGTTCTTTCGTCAGGTGGAGCTGGCTGCCCCCCCGGAGAGTGGCGAGAGCGGGTCGGTGCTGGTGAAGCGCATCGGGCAGCAGGCGAGGTGCAACTTTTCAGCTTCCCAGTTGCGTAGGTGGGAAGCCATCCGGTTCCTTAGGTTGCTAGCTTTTTGGTTGGTTTAGTGGGCCTTTCTTTTCAGGTTTGTTGTAGCTTTGTAGGGCTTTATTGTAGGGGTTTATTTTTTGGGGCTTTTTCAATTTTGTTTTAGCTTTTTAGTTGGTTTAGTGGTTGGGTTTTCCGACCCTTTCATTCAACATTTTTGTGGGAGGGGTTTCCCTTGGAAGTCAAACCAATTAATGGATGCCCCTTCTTTTCTCCCGTGGCCACTGGGCAGCGAGGATTTGCTTCCGGGTTCTCTTTGGACAATTGGTGGGTCGTTGTGGGGAGGCATGGGAAGAAGTTGTTCAGCTGCTTCTGTGGTCTCAACTTCTTGCGCGTGCCTCGTGGCTTGGTGAATTGGTGGCTTCTTTAGAAATGCTTCTTCATTTCTGCGGAGGCTCGACCAGCACCGCCCAAGGAACGTTATTCTCCTGTCTTGAGCCCTTGGCATGTGTGTTTGGACAGTGCTTGTAGGGCGGCTCTCATATCTGGGGATTAGCTCTGGGGATCAGCTTGCAGCCGTGGCTCCAGTGGCCTTACGGGGCGATGCTTTTAGGGGTTCGAAGCCCAGTCACCGTTTGTTGGATGTTGCCCACTTGAGAGGCCAATCAACTTCAGAGGTTTTTGTTGTTTCCTCTTGGTTTCCAACTCACCCGAAGCCAAGGGAGGCGAATTTTCGCCCTCCCCCGACAGGTGAAGCTGCTGACGGACCGGGAGGACTGCCAGGAGGCAGGTTCCAGCACCCATCCTTGGTGGCTCCCAGCCATCCCCTTAGCCTTTTAGCTTTTTAGTGTTTAGTGGTAGCTTCCATTTAACCCACTAAAAGTTAAGCTTTTAGCGGGGGATCTGAGGGCAGCCCAGCGTCGAATTACATGTTTTGTAGGCTCACCTCTGAAGGGCTCCGATTTATCTGCTGCGCAACTCATTGGGCGACTGGGTGTATGGTCAGTGTAAATCAGTTTTAGGTGGAGAGAATTGCCGTTTTTGCGCTAAGTAGTATAGGGAACTTATTTGAAACGAAAAAGAGGCTCTTAGGCTTCCTTTGGGCTTGTGTCTCAAAGATAGGGGATCCCATTGCATGCGTGCAAACTGAATCGCAACCTCACAATGAGAGTTCGTCGACAAATTCAGCCAACAGGATGTGTGTTGAGTGTGACTTGTCTTTTTTCACATACGCCCCCCCTCCACGGGCACCATAAAGAAGACGTGGTTTGACTTACGCTGCCCTTTGTTGAACAAAGAACCGAGCAAAACAAGATAATCTCATGTATCCCTTTTTGGACAGCTGGATACACCCCGCATGTTTGGGGAAGAATCAATCCAACCATGCAATGCTGTCTGCCAAAGGCTCCATTTCCAATGGTCGTTTATACCCACTTTTTTGTTGAATCATAAGTTGGTGTCAAACGGAAACTGACAACTTGACGTACCCCCCTCAAAGCCTCACTCACTTGTAGCTGGAAAACAACTCGCAGGATAAGTGTTTGTGTGTGTGTGTGTTTTGCTGGGGCTGTTGGTGGGTAGTAAAGGCGAAGGCGAACCAACAGGAAGTCACCCATTTGGGGTGCGTCATTTTGTTGAGGCTCTGGACCCTTTTTCGGGGGTGCCTGTCAAAAACGGAAAGTGTCTAAAGGGAAAAAACACGAAACGGGGCACTGGTTGCTCACATGAGCACTCGGAAGCAGGTGCCGGGGATGCGGGGCTGTGCGCCTCGGGGGCTTTCGGCGAGTACGGCACCATGGCAACGGAGTTGGAACATGGCTGCGTCGGATGGTTTCGGTGGGGCCCACAGGCTCTCAGGTTCGTTTGGGCCAAAAGCGCTGGAATCCAAGCGGGCATCTTTCCAGGACTTCTCCTTGAAGCCTTTCCGGCATGATGCCTAAGACCACCGCCCCCTCAGCAGGAAGAGCAAGAAGACGTGTGGGGTATGAAAGCCCTCATGTTGGCATGTCTGCTTTGGGATTGAAGTTGACCTTGCTTCACAGAGATGCGGCAACAGGCGGATCTGTTTGTTGTCAGGGCAACCTCGCGCCATCGCTGGTACCCGATGTTTTTGCACATGCTTCATTTGTTTGGCAAGGGTGACATGTCAGGAGAAGTTGTAAGCTTGATTTGCTTTCTTTGCTTTGGTCTCTTGTGCCGCCGTATTCCAAAAGCCACACCTTGTCTCTGCAAAGCGACCCTTCCATCCACTTGTTTGACTGGAAGTAGGGGGCCCGCCTTCGACAGTGAGTTACAGAAAGGGCACCTTTCACTACCAGCCGGCTGGATTTGCAAGACGAAACCATGATTTGTTTTCGCGGACGTCGCCTCTGCGAATCGGGGGCGAGGGCAAATGTGTGCTTGACGGTTGGGTCTGTTAACTTGCGCGAGGTCCCGGGGAATAGTTTGCAGAAGCGTTCCAAGGGTTTCAGAAAAAATAGCGCACACCACCACTCTTCCAGTGCCTCAAGCAGCTCAGATTACGTTTTTGCAACCAAAAAACACAAAGGTTTCCAACCGGTAACCCCACATGCCAAGACTGCTTGGACCATGCCACAGCATGCCGTTTCAATGCTATCCGGGCCAATCAAGCCTTGTGCCAGCAAACACACACGCCAAACAAGGACTCCAAATCTCTGTCAAAACATGCGGACATACCTTAGCAAGCTTGTCTCGGGAAGCGCTGCTCCCGTTTGATCCGAGCAGTGTTCCGGAATAGGGTAATGCAAGTGACTACATCACGATGGCGCAGCCCTTTTCCTTAGGGAGTTGCAGATTTCTGAGGATAATGCTCGCTTGTATGTTCGCCTTCAGGTTTCAAAAAATATGGATGAGTTTGGAATGTGGAAATCAATTTGGGGGGTCCCTAAAGTTGGCCTTTACTCAGCCAGAGTTTCGAGATTTGCCGAACTTAGTCTTGTCTATATTGACCAAACAAAACCCTTGTTTGACCCATTCAATTTCCATCGAAAAACGGATAGTCGCCACCAATACATTTGCGAAACGCGTCTTCGCACGCAAAGCCAGGCGAATTTGCAAAACACGGGCCTGAGCGTGAAGATTATCCAAACTCACTCCGACTTTGGAGAAAACAGCCCTGACTGAGTTTGGAGCAAGCTCGGGCCGAGTTTGGAGAAACGAACTGAGTTTGGAGAATCTCCAAACGCAGGCCCCAGTTTGCAGAAAATGGGCCTGAGTTTGAAGAAGACTTGTCAGTCCTGGTTAGTCCAAACTCTTTGTACGAAGCCAAGAAGCTCTCCGAGTTTGGAAAATGGAGGAACAGGGCCCGAGGTTGGAGAACTTCTAAACTGAACCTGAGTTTGCAGAAAAACAAGCTTGACTTTGAAGAATCCGCAAACTCAGCCCGAGTTTTGAGAAAACAGGCCCGAGTTCGGAGAATCTCCAAACTCACCCCGATTTTGGAGAAAACGGGCCTAAGTTTGGAGAATCTCCAAACTCACCCCGATTTTGGAGAAAACGGGCCCGAGTTCGGAGAATCTCCAAACTCACCCCGAGTTTGGAGAAAACGGGCTCGAGTTCGGAGAATCTCAAACTCAGAGTTTGGACTCAGAGTTTGGAGAAAACGGGCCTAAGTTTGGAGAATCTCCAAACTCACCCCGAGTTTGGAGAAAACGGGCCCGAGTTCGGAGAATCTCCAAACTCACCCCAAGTTTGGAGAAAACGGGCCCGAGTTCGGAGAATCTCCAAACTCAGGCCCGTTTTCTCCAAACTCATTTTGTGAAACACGCGAAGAAGAGTTCGGCAAGTCTTTTGGTGGAGAAAATACGCGTTCGGATGGAGATTGTCAGGCAAAATAAGCGTTGTGCAGGAGAAAAACACATTGAAATTGGAGTTTGGAGAATCTCCAAACTCAGCCCGAGGTTGGAGAAAACGGGCCCGAGTTTGGAGAATCTCCAAACTCAGGCCCGTTTTCTCCAAACTTGGGCCCGAGCTTGGAGAATCTCAGAATCTGCAAGCGCACCCGAGTTTGGAGGAAATGGAGCATGTCCAAACTGAGCTTGGAGAATCTCCGAGCTGAGTTTGGAGAATCTCCGAACTGAGTTTGGAGAATCTCCGAACGCAGGCCTAAGTTTGGAGAAAATCTGTCTGAGATTGGGGAATTTCCAAACTCATCCCGAGTTTGGAGAAAACGGGCCTGAGTTTGGAGAATCTCCAAACTCGAGCCCTTTTTCTCCAAACTCGGGCCCGAGTTCGCCAAAATTCGATACTCAGTTCGAGTTTGGAGAATCTCCAACCTGAGGTCCGTTTTCTCCAACCTCGGGAGGTGCGCTTGGAGATTCTCGAAACTCGGGCCTGAGTTGTTGGAGAACACATGCCTCAGTTTAGAGAATCTGCAAAGTCATCCACGGTTTGGAGAAAACGGGCTGAGTTAGAGAAAAAAAGGCTGAATTTGGAGAAAAGGAGCCTGACTTTAAAGAGTGAACGCAGGCCCCAATGGGCCTGAGTTGGGGGAAAACGGGCCTGGGTTTGGCAACTCGGACCCGAATTTGGAAATCTTCAAACTCGAGCCTGAGTTTCCCCAAACTCAGGTTGAGTTGGGAGAAATTGGCTAGAGGCTAGAGTTTGGAGATTATGAGCCTGAGCTTGGAGTGTCTCCAAACCCTCCTATCACCCATCTCGGTGATGAGATTGGAGACTGGGACTGTTTGCACCAAACGCGGCACACTCATGCCCCCCCTATTCTCAGAACTCTTCCAATTTACGGGGTCTCAACAAATGAGCCGAGTTTCTTCATATTGCGCTACGGGTGCGCAGAAACTGACGTTAGCCGAACCTTGTTCAATTTCAACCCTGGGTTTGGAAAGTCGAGCTCGGTTCCCGACCTTGTTGCAAGGCCTTGTCACAGCAAGATGCGTTCCGGGCTTCCAACAACGGTTGTGAGTACAGGTTGCAGAAACGAAACGTGCTTGATCAAACTAGGGCATGAACACGACAGCTCACTTGGGGGCTGCTATTGCCCCAAGTGAGCCGCCGTTTTCATGCCCCAGTTTGATCGAGAGCGCTTCGTTCCTGCAACTTGCACTCACAGCCGTTTTGGGAAGCGTGGAACGCTTCTTGCTGTGGATTGCAAAAAAGGCCTGAGCTCGTGCAAGTTAACAGTTGGGTCTAAGCTGTTTAGACTGTGCCGTAACAGGGTTGCCAAGATGAGCATCGTCGACCGGAGACACACCACGGCATTGCGGGCTGTCAACGTCAGAGCTGGGATCCGTGTCCCGGAATCTGCAGACCAACATGGCACCCCAAGAAGTTCTTTGGGGGGATCCCTTTTGGGTATGTAGTTAAAAGGGTGTGTGTCTGTGTGTGTGTAATTTCGGGGGCACCTTTTCTTGGGTTTAACGATGCCAAAAGGAGAACCTCTATTTTGGAGTCCCCCGCATTTTGGCACATACCCACGAGCCACAGCATGTATTGGTACCACACGCGGAAGTTGATCCTAGTTGGGTTGGTTCCTTGGGAATGGTCAACCCAAAACGGAGCGCCCCGTTCCTACCATCGCCGGGTACTGGGTAATGGGTGGTCCTCTATGAGACCAACAGCCGCTAGGGCAAAGCCTAGCCACATCCCCCATCCTTGCTTTTAATCAGGCCCCACTGAGAACACCCCCTGCCTCCCAAAAGAAAAGGAGCGGCTTTGTCTTTGGATTGCGGCTCCAAAAAAGGCGCGCCCGAATCGGTCGCTCCTTTCGAAAGAACTGACACAAGGACGAGTGGTACAAGGAGGGCTATGGCGTGGGCAAGCCCTGGGGACATATCCCTCCGGATCAGTTCTGGTCTGGCCCGGTCTTCATCCGTGAAGACATGGACTTGGCGGTCTGCCCAGAGCTCTGTTGGAGGCCTGCCTTCATGTTTGCGGGAGCCTCAGACTCTTCGAAGGCGCTCTCGCAGGCAGTCAGGCAGTCAGGCAATCATCCAACAAATGTTGACCTGCTTTGGCTTGACTGCTAAACTGCCACGCAAAAAGGCGAAAGACAACAGATATCCCCAGGATATCCCTCTCTTGATACATGTATCGACAAATATACATATGTACATACAGGTATATATATATATACCCACAAAGCATACGTGTCGCCCACAAGGTCTTATTGTGCTGGATGATCGTGTTGGCAGGTTTAGGGTTCTTAGGGTTTAGGTTTATGTTTTGTAGGGTTTAGGTTCAGGGTTGTTAGGGTTTCGGTTTAGGGTTGTTAGGTTTAGGTTGGGGGTTTTTAGGGTTTAGGTTTAAGGGTTTTAGGGTTATTTTAGGGATTAGGTTTAAGGCTTTTAGGGATTAGGTTTAAGGCTTTTAGGGTTTAGGTTTAAGGCTTTTAGGGCTTAGGTTTAGGGTTTTGAGGGTTTTAGTAGGGTTTCTAGGGCTTTGGTTTGCTTGGACCTGGCTGTCCGGTGCATCCGAGGCTGACTTCTCTGGTGTAGATTCGGGGTTGTGTTGATGATAGCAGTATATAACCAGGAAAAGTCGCCGCGCTCCATGAAGGGGGTATGAAGCAGGAAGCTGGGGTGGGGCTCGGGGGGCTCGGAAGTGTTTTTTTGCTCGCCTGCCATGCTTTTTGGATGTCTCGGGGACCCGCTTCCGGGCGGTCGCCGGCAACACATACGTTTTGGCCGTATATATATATATATGTATATATATACACATATGCTATGTATGCCAACTGTATGCATATGTAGGTCTCATCAATGGTGAAACCAATATCTGTAAAGCACACATTTGCAGGGATACAACTCTCAGTATTCATCATCTAGGGTCAGGAAAGGGGAATGAGATGGTTGGGCAATCCTAAAAGGGGGCCAGGGTTTGGCTGATTGAACACAACATGCCAGCTCTGGTGGCACGTACCGACTTCATATGTGTATAGGGCACCGGTTCGGGCGCCTACTCAGCATGCTGTTCAGATTTTCTTTGACCCGAGCTTTCATTGAGGTCGAGTCAGGCGTACATTTTACACGAGGGTTCCAGTTCCCGGTTTTGGTTGGGGGGGTCCCCACTTAAAATGGTCCTGGGCACAAAAGAAACGGTTCCCATTTGTGTTCTACCCAAATCAGTGTTGCAACTGGAAGTCTGTTTATGCTATGAGCTTCTCAGCATTGAGGCAGCTGGGGCCGTCGCAAGATGGACATGTAGATAGTGAAAGATGTGATGGCGGCAGTTCGCTCACCAATTGGACATTGCTTGCTCACCCATTGGACATTGCTTAGGGTTTGTTTCAAAGGAATCTAAGAGTGTTGGCACCTTCGGATGCCCACAAAATTATATATAGACTTCCCCGCAGGTATGCTCGAGCAGTCAACTACAACCATGCATGCCCCAATGCTTATGTTCCGCACCAGCGCTTGAGCTCTCCTCCACACACACACAAAGGCGCATGCACGCGCGCGCGGGCGCAAGTTCAACTTCACGCCGCAGTGCGTGATCGCCCAACGGCGCACCCACACACAGACACACAGACACGCAGACACACAGACACACGCACACACACACACACATGTCCAATTGTTACGCTCCCTCCATGCGAAGTGTGATCGGTCCACTGTAAACTGCTTGCATTCCTGCCACTATATGGTTCCCCTTCAATGCATCCGAGGCTTTGGGATGTCAGAACCGTTTGGGAACCGTTTGGTACATAAATGGTTCCGTTGCCCAATTTGGGGGAGGCAATGTTTATGGAGTTTATCAAAACAAGCCAATGAGCAGGGAAATGTTTGAAGGTAAGTAGCAGAGATTTGTTTGTCCCCCGCTTCCTCCACGTCCCTGCTAGTTTGTTTGGTGAGTGTGCTCAACATCATCCTCTTACTGCAGTAAGCATTGCCAGACTTAGCTTGCCTTTTGGTCTTTTTGGCTTTCCATCTTGTTCCCTTCCGTTCTGCCAGTTATGCTACCGACCAACTGCACGCGGGAAACAACGAGTTGTTCTTTTGCAGGAGCCCACAAGGACCGGCTCCGACGTTTTTTTGTCTTCCCCTTTTTTGTGTTGTTTTTTTGTTTCGTATCAGGTCATTTTTGTTCTTCTTCGGATCAGGTCAAGCGCGCCAGCATCAATGGCGGTCCAAAAGCTGTGATCACTGGGATCCCGGAGGTCCAGTCGAATCAGATGCTCGGCGCCTAGGGCACCTAGTGGCCCCTTTTGTCCCACGGGGTGTCGGAAGGGACGAGCAACGCTCTTGTGAGCATTTGTGAAGGCAACCCGTGAAACAAAAAGAGACATAAAACGTTCAGGCTTCCCTCTGCTTACATGAAAGCAGACAGAAGCAGAGCATTAAGCTTTTGGGGTTTGATCTGTCTTTAATGGCGGCAAAAGGTTATCCTAGGCCCTGTTGGGCAAGTGAGCGCTGTTGCCCTTTTACATCCAGTAGGTTGACTGAGACATGTTGCCATGCAGCCTGGAATGCTGCGGTAATCGCAACGGGTTCAGGACTCGCAGATTTGCTGTATCAACGACCTTTGACCAATTGGCAACGTGTGAAGGGTACCGTGCACAAGCCACGTAATGTTTGCTATGGCCAAATTTCCCTTGCACTTGAGCTTGGTAGCGGCTGGTCATGCACCCTTGACCAGGGTGTTAGAGAGCAGCGAAAGTTGCAGTGCTGAGGGTTACCTCTACTAATGACTGACCGGAGTTTGACCACGGCACACCTGGACCTTGGTGCATGCTCAAAATTCCGCCTTACGAGATGCCTTTCGGGGCAACACGTAATTTTGCCTGCCTTTTTTTTGTCTCAATTTGGGTGTCAAGCGCAATCTCCCCGAACCAGGCTAAAATCCTCGACCAACAAGCGACAATGCCCGACCGCGGCACAAACAAATGAACCCTCTTTGATTGGCCGCGTGCATTTGTTGTTGTATATGTTGTTTGTTTGATGGTTGGTTGTTGGTTTGTTTGTTTGTTTGTTTGCTTGCTTGCTTGCTTGCTTGCTTGCTTGTTTGTGTTGATGTGTGTTGGTTGTAACTTGCTTTGCTTTGCTTGGTTTCTGTGTCTTTCTTGGTTTAGGCCTATATTTCTTTTGTTTCTTCCTTTCTGTCTCAGGTCTCTTTGTTTCGTTTCGTTCGTTTCGTTTCGCTGCACCCAACGGCTGAGGACCTCCAACTTGCCGGGGCTCCTGGTGAAAGTGGTGGTGCCCCTCGGCGAGGAGTTTTCGTTGGGGGAGAGAGGCCAGGCATCCTTCCAGACCTCCGGCGGGGGGCGGTTTTCTTTCTTCTGTTTCTTTTTTGGCGAAAAAAAGGACAAAGCACGAAAACAAATGTTTTTGTTTGTCTCAAAGAATGTGATTTGGAGGGAACCCCTGTAGAATCGATTGGTTGCTGTTCATTGTTTCTATGTTGTTTGTTTGGAGGGAACCCGTGTAGAATCGATTGGACAAAGCGGCGCCATGTGTCCATATAAATCCGCTGGAGGTCTGGCAAACATGATAGTAATTCCAATCTCAACGTCACACCAACTCAGCTTGTGTTGAAATATATGCCACGCAGCGAGGTGACGCAAGGTTGGGTATTTATGGTGGATGAATCTTGGGATCCCCCAAATCGCTCCAATGAAACACACATGTTGCTGGGTTTTGCAGACAATGTGTAAAGAACCTTCCAATTGTAGAAGCCAGAGCGGTTGGTGAGATGGCGGCTTCGAGCAACCTGTTGAACGCAGTTCTTTGTTTGGAAAGCAAAGTTGGGCCAGCCCCTTTGTTTAAACGTATATTAATCAATTTGCATTTAAACAACAAGTTGGCTTTTCTTCATGATACGGTTGTGTAAAAAGCATGTTGCCCTGTTGGAAAGCATCCCGGTCGGGCTCCAACTCATGTTGGGCACAGCAAATCTGCGCCGATTACATGTTGAGGGCTACAAGGGCATTTCGACCTTATCAAGGGTTTCGGTTTGCAACCAATTTCCTCCATGATGAAGGCTCCTCTCATAAGGATCTACTATTGTCAATTGGTATTGCAGTGAGAACTTTGGTCCGCGCCCTCCGCTTGCGCAAGACTTTCTTTGCACAAAGTGAATCGCCTCATGTCATCTCGTAGACACACCCCAAAATAATCGGGCACCTCTAGATGTGCGACATCCGGAGCTGTTGACGGCGACCAAACACTTGCGCGAAGGGGCTGGGTTGGCAAAGACCTTGTTAAAGAAGAGTGCCAGTCTGATTCGGTTCTAGAACCCCTCTGTAGAAAGATCCCTGGTTGAAGCAGGCGTGTTGTTTCTGTTTGGTTGATGTTTTAGTTCCAGGGATGGCGCCAACTCATTTCGGGTTGCGAGGCTGGTAGATGAGGGTTTCCAGCGATATCCTTCTCATATTGCCCTGGAACCTGACGGGGGCGTGCCACGGTGACGTGGGTGGATGGGTATCAAACAGCACCAATCGTGGGAGATGAGGTCAGCCTCCCTTTTCAAGGAGTGCGGTGTCGAATGTCGTGCCGGTAGGGATCGTTTCAACCTGTTGGCATCAGGGGGCCTACAAATGATTAAGAACTCTACAAAAGACCCCGCCGCTTTTATGAGCTGCATCAAGGCCAAGCGAGGCTTATTTCAGACCACAACGCTGGGGAGTCTTTGGAGTGGGAAGCGGGGCAGCGGGGTGTTGGTTTGTAGGGCCCCAGAATGGATTCTTTCGTTTGTCTCCTCAAACCCTCCCTGCCAAACAGGACCCAGCTCATTTTGTCGTTCCACTCCCTATCAACCTTTTTTGGGTTTTCATATGTATTTGCAGGGGAGCATCTTGGCATCGCAAGAAGCGCTTAATTTTGCAGGATGCCCAAGCCCGATTTGAATTGGAGTAGACAAAACCCTGTGAATTCTGTACTCGTCAATTTCACAATAACCACATGGGGACGAAGCTATGTTTTGCAACTTTTCCCGATACTGCTGTCACCCAGATCTTTGTGTTCCAGTTTCCGAGCCAAAAGTAGCAGATGAGGAGGCAACGTTTTGGGGGTTGGGCCCATGTCCCATATTGTCAAAGCACTGGTAAGCATGTTTAAGCAAGTAGTTTAATACCATTTCCAGTTGCTTGTCGCTCTTGCGGTCGTTCCCTGCGGGGGGATATTTTAATATCATCCGCATGTTTCTCACATTCCATGTTCTTCCCCATTCACCCACCTTCTCCCCATATTGCCCCATATTGCCCATATTGCCCCATATTTTCCCATATTTTCCCATATTTTCCCATATTGCCCCATATTGCCCCATGTTGCCCCATATTGCCCCATGTTGCCCCATGTTGCCCCATGTTGCCCCATGTTGCCCCATGTTACCCCATATTGCCCCATATTGCCCCATATTGCCCCATATTGCCCCATATTGCCCCATATTGCCCAAGAACCAGCCCACCTGGTCAGCAGAGGACAGTCCCGACCAGAAATAGAAACGGATACCCGCCATGTTGTTTCTTCTCTGCGGCTTTGGGTAGTTTCCTTGAATACCAAAACCATGAGAAGAACTGTACCTAAAAGCACTTCAATAATGATAAGGTTCGGCGTTGGTTTGGACTAGGACTTTGGCTACCAGGTTTTGATCGTGTCTTGTGTGCGCGCGTGTGTTTTTGGCGTGTGTGTTTTTGTTTGGGGTCGTTTAAAGGGAAACCAAGCACAACCTAAAGGGAAAGCAGGGAAGTAACGGGATGTGAACTGAAATCAAGGGGAATCACAGGAACTCTAGAGAAATCGCATGAAGGGAACTCACATGAACTCGAAGTAAAACACATGACGCATGAAATCCAGCGGAACCAACATGAACTCAAGGGATGGCTTGTTGTGCCGGGCCAACTCATTCCCGAAATCCCATCGACCCAGCAAACTCCTGGACGTGCTTTTGGCCATATTCCGGTAGACATGTCCAGCTCGCTAGTTTGTATGAATAGGCAACCAGGTTGGAAACCATCTAGTGAGTGTGCATGTCGCGAGTTTCGAAACTCGCGGTTTTGAGCAAAACCTAGGGGGGGAGCGGAATATGGCCGGTTCCTGTTTGAACCCTGATGCCACCCAAGGTGCTGCATTTTTCAGGGCCCCTGAAAAGAAATTCATTTTGCAAGCATTTGAAACAAGTTGGCTTTTTCAACACCAAAATAAAGGGAAACCACCATTTACAAGGCAATGTTCAGGTGTATAATGTAAGGATCCTGTTTTTGACAACCCCCCCATTTTGACGACCCCCCAACCCAACTCAGAGTTCGATATCGAAGGGTCCCAAATTATCTTTCAAGTTTTTAACACGGGAAGTACTACTCACTCCCGGTGTTCCTGGACTTTAGTCACCTTTTGGGTTTGGCTCATCTTGGTAACAAAAAAGTTTGGGTACTGCTGTTTTGTTGCCAGTCCACTCGATCGGAAGTGAGCAAAAGGAAACCAACATGCAAGCCACCCAAGTTTGGTTTCCGCTCGATCGGAACTGAGTAAAAGTAGAAGGACACCATTTTTAGGTGGGGCCCCCTATTTTGTTTGTTTTAGGCACGCCCAGGTTCTGTTAGCAAAAGAAGACCAATATGAAAACCAGCCAATTTTAGGGGGTTTTCCCTGTGTTTGAGGCACGCCCGTGTTCTGCTTGGTTTTCGGGTTCCCTCGGCCAGGACGTGCTGTCCACTGCCTCCTCCTTGAGCAGAGGCGAGGCCATGGTGGCCACGGCCAGCGGGGACGTGGTGGCGGCCGAGGACATGGCAGCATGGAAGCAGAGAGCACATGGCGGGTATGAACTGGGCGACCTCCAGTCGGCCCCTCAATGCCTTCCAGCTCCAGCAAGACCACCAAAGAAGAAACAGGCACACACACACAAAACAAAGAAAAGAACGAAAACCGCACCAAAAAGAAGTTGTCCAGTTGCCTCTGGATTGTTTTTACCTGCTTGCCTTCGCTTGCTTGGGAGGTTGCCCCACCAATGAAGATAGTCCACAAAAAGCAATCCCATTGCGCCCACTTGTCATTATACAAGGTAACCAGGCAAAACTACCATGTAAAGCCTGGAGGTGAGACACCGTAGTTGTCTACTAAAGTGGTAGTTGGAAGCTCCGGGAATGACAACGCTCCACATGGTTCACTGTTTCTACCGAAGGTGTCACTGATTTCTTGTTTGCCATTCTACAGCCTGCAATACCACGTGTCTGATATCGCTGTTCTGCCGATCGATCGAGACATTGGGGCGCCACGTGCTCCTCGCAAGGGTGGCTGCTCCTCTCTAGGGGGGGAAAGGATTGCTTTTTTTAGGGGATTTGTTCAACCCGCAACATGGTTCCCTGTTTCTACCGACGAAATCACTCGTTGCAACAGGGGCAACGGTGGGCCATCAGCACTAAGGCATCGGCTGTGAGCATCGATGAGGACTCGGGCCGCCTGGTGGTGGGCAAAGTGCGAGAGGCGGGCGGCTTCCATAAGCTTGCGCCCAGTGGTTGCCAGAGTCCCAGGCAACCCTTCCATATATTTGTTGACCTTTGATTTTTTACATGACGTTTTTCCAGCAGGAAACCCTTTCGATTGTTTTACTCTTGCAGTTTCTGCATGATTGGATTGCCTGGTCCCTGCTATCGTGGCGACTGGGAGCACTGGGTGGGTCAGCGGAATCTCTTTTGAGCTCGTGCTTCATTGCAAGGGGAGCCACGCGAATGGCACCCGCAACGGACCTTGACGCCGAGTTCAGTCAGTAGCAGTTTCCTTTTCCCAGCAGTATTCGGTAACATAGGTCCCCCAGTAGTGCCATGTTTCCCTTTTTTGGGGGAGTGTTCCCCACTCAAATAGACTACAGGAAAAAGTTTGTTCCCTTATTCTAACCTCTCTACTGGAGGACCTAGGTAAGGTGGGGGATACCCTAAGCAAAATGGGGAATGCATTCAGGCCGATGTTCAGCGACCGATGAGGATTCGTGTGAGTTTTGCACATAGCGAACTCGCCTACACAGATGGCAGCTTTGTGTTTAGAGAGGAAAACTTGGTCACCGCTGTTGGTTGGCAAGTTCTAATGGTCCAGGTATGCATGTTTTCGCAAAAATATCGTTGGCATTTGGAAGTGGCGGTTGTGGCATTGGTGCCCCCTGTCTATGACATGTCATTCGCAGAGAAGCAGGGAAACTCATGCTTTCTAAACTCCGTTGTGTAACTCGCTTGGGAGCTTTGCACATTACCAGTTGTTCAAATGCACTCTGTCATGCGTTGGGTGGACCCGCGACCCTCTAAAAGGGTAATCATCGCTCAAAAGAAGCGGTTTCCTTTTTCTACTTGTAGGGCCCTTGTTGCAACTGGGCATTTGTTGGGGGGGGCCTACTGTATGTGTTTCACATAGGGCTGCCCTGTGATGATGTTGGCATGCAGTTCTTCTCTTCATGGAGGTGCTCTGCGATCTAGAGATCGCAGAAACCATCCTCGAAGGGTGCTAAGGGACCCTTTCAAAGGCAACTTGGATTCATTTTCCCAGCTAAACATGGAACATCATGGAACCCTTAGACTCAGGGTCAGAGGCAACTTTTGTGACATGGTTGATTCCCCATTCCCCATTCTTTTCAACCATCGTTCTTTTCAAAAAACAAAACAGCCGTTTTCCCTGGGTGTCCGGAGGTTTTCTAGAAAGAAAGAAGGATCCCTGGAGAGAATGGAAATGGAAGGTACCCCTCAAAAACTGCTGGGGCTCCTTTCGTTCCTTTGGGCTGTGCGAAAATTCCTCGTCGCAGGCCAGGCTCTCCTGGGCCGGCGCTGTCACTGACCAGCTGCTGCTCGGGAAGCCGGGCATCTACACGGAGTCAGGCGCGGCTCCGATGTGAGGGGTTCGGTTCGAGGGGGCTTGGTACGCAAGGTGAGCCAAAATCAAAACCCGGGTAGATGAAGGTTAGCAAGGAATACTCCCAACCATAAATAGCTGCGGCCGCCTTCTTGATTCTTTACATGGTTCTGGGTAGACCATTTTAATACCGGGTTTTGAGTGTGACTCATTTTGAGTTGGTGGAAACTCGCCCGTGGACCCTTTTAACGGGAGAGGCAGGCGCGCGAGCCGCCAGAAAGAGTTCTTTGGAAGACATGTTGCCGATATGCTAGAGACTTGCCGAGATATGACGCAAAAAAAGAGGATGCGCTAGCTAGACACAGGCAAACAAGAAGACACAACATTGCTCAAGCAGCCTGTTGCTGCGCACTTCGCGCATGTCTAGCATATCGATGTGTCTAGCACATGTCTACTACATGTTCACCGTATGCCTAGCATATGCCTGCGTGTTTCTCACTATGTCCAGCGAGAGCAGCGCCTAGATTATTCTAGAGTGTGTCAATCATTTTTTGTCATGCCTGGTTAGCCCATCAGTTTAAAGCTATAGCATTCCGGCAAACAGCGCCGTCCAACAGCTCTGTGGGCTAGGTTTCGCGGCGCATCCTATTTAAAGATTAAAGGGCCGGATAGCCATGTCTAACCTTAGAAAAAACAGGTCCGCGTAAACCAGAAGCATGCACGGTATCCCACGAGATGCGGTGAGCGCGAGTCAATGGAAGAAGTGAGTGCGAGCGAGTCTGCGCATTACGTTATCTTTTCTTGTTGTCGTGTCATCTTTTCTCGGTGTGACACGTGTCTGGCAGTCGCAGCGCAACTTCTGTTCTCACGCACGATTCGTGTTGGGTCTCTGCAGCCGTCCCGCACTGGGCTGACGGCAGCGATGACAAGCAAATGCACCTACGCCTCGCTCGCTTGCCAGGCCGCCTGTCACGCAAAATGGGGCCCCAGCCGCGCATCCAATCCGTTTAGACAGCTACCAATGCTGCGCCATGTCACGCAAACACACACACACCCAGATGCAGGAAATGCTGTGCGTGCCACGAAGTTTGCACGCCATCTCCAAAGTGCTGCGCCTGTCCAGCAAAACGGCTGCCACCAAATTTGCAAGCCATCTCCAAAGTGCTGCGCTTCCCGCGCAAAACGGGGCCCCCGGCCGCGCGCTCGACAACATCCAGTCCGAGACACCTACCAACACAGACACACACACACACACACACGCCCACGCACACGCACACGCACACACGCACACACACACACACACACACACACACACACACACACACACACACACACACACACACACACACACACACACACACACACACACACACACACACACACAGATGCAGGAAATGCTGCGCCTGCCACGAAATATGCAAGCCATCTGCAAAGTGCTGCGCCTGTCAGGCAAAAGGCGGGCCCCCTTTTGTCAGGCCTGACAACATCGAGTCGCTTTAGACAGCTACCAGATGCTGCCCATGCCACGCAACAACACACACACACAGTGAGTGGTGAGTGGTGAGTGTGAGTGTGAGTGCGGGTGTGAGTGTGAGTGTTAGTGAGAGTGTGAGTGTGAGCGTGAGCGTGAGCGTGAGCGAGCGAGCGAGTGAGTGAGTGAGGGAGCGAGCGAGCGGCGGGTGCGGGCGATGGACGGCGGCGGGCCACGCGTGCAGAACAGGGCGCCTACAAAGCAAGTGTGACTCGAGGAGACTCCATTTGTGCAACGGATCCTCTTCTTGTCTCCCATGCTAATCTAGGCCGCCGACATTACAGGCCTGCTTTCATATTTGCATCGCTTTGGACTGTCCAATTGAAAGTGTTCCTTTGGATGTTTCCCATCGCCAGTGGAATTATCCCATTGGACCTCTCCCCACGGAAGTCTTCCCGTAAGATTTTTCCCCCCTGTCACCCCTAACATCTTTGCCCACCCCTCTAAGATCTTCCCCTTCCATTTCTTCCATTTATCTGATCTGTTCCCCCAAGACCTTTTCCCCCTTCCCCCCCGAAAATCTTTCCCTCCTTGCCCCCCTTTCCCTCTAAAATATTTTCCTTTTTTGACGCCGAACCTGAGCTTCTTGCCTTTACTTTAGAGGAAGCAAGAATGCAAATACAGAATGCCTGGGAATGGGCTTTGCAAGGAGGCTGCTTCACAGGGCTGCAGGCACAAGGCCCAGACCCCAACAATGCAAGACAAGTTGCATTGTCTGGGCAGAAGAGGCTCACTGATTTACATCAACCTGCTGGCAATCAGTCAAGTCAAGTCAGAAGGCCACTGAACCACTCCCAATCTCCTGAGGATGGAATGCATCCCCATGTCATGGCTCGTCGGGCGCGTAGCCATGAGGCACAATTGCGCTGCGCGCCTGCTGGTTTTGCATAGTCTGCGTCATGATCATCATGACGTTGCATCTGAATCTGCATCTGCATTTGAGCACTTTGCGCCATTGCCTGAGTTTCCCCCCCAAGGCCTTTTCCCCCATTCCGCCCCCTGACATCTTCTCCCAAGAGGGCAAAGACCCCTTTCCCTCCTAAGATCGTTTCCCCCTTTTTCCCTTTAGACCTTCTCCCCCTTTTCCCCCCTAAGATCTTTTCCCATCTTTCCCTCTTCCCCCCTAAGATCTTTTCCCACCTTTCCCCTAAAATCTTTCCCCCCCCACCCCGTTATAAGACCTCTTTTACCCTTCCCTCCAAGATCATTCCCCCCTCCCCCCCAAGATCGTTCCCCCCCTTTTCCCACCCTAAGATCCCCCCCTTTTCGCCCGCAAGATCTTTTCCTATTCCTTTCCCCTCCTAAGATCTGCTCCCCCCCCTTTTCCCCCTAAGATCTTTCCCCCCCTTTCACCCCCTAAGATCGTTTGCCACCTTTTCCCCCCCTAAGATCTTTTCCCCCCCTGCTCCCCAAAGATCGTTCCACCCTTCCCCGCCCTTAAGTGTTTTCCCCTTTTCCCCTCCTGGACCTTTTCCCACCTTTCCCCCCCAAGATCTTTCCCTCCCTCCCCCCCTTCTTAGATCTGTCTCCCCTTCACCCACTAAGATCGTTTGCCACCCTTCCCCGCCTAAGATCTTTTCCCTCTCCCCCCCCCCCCAAAGATCTTTTCCCACCTCTTCCCGCCCTGAGGTCTTCCCCCCCCCCTTTCCCTCCCTTCGATCTTCTTCCCCCTTCCCCCCCTTCTATCTTTTCCCCTCTTTCCCCCTACTAAGATCTTCATTTTCCTTCACTTACCGTCATGTCCCTGTATTGCCGTTTTTTCTTTTTCCTGAATTTCAGGTCAGGTCCTTCATTTCCATACATTTGCCTTCATGTCCAGATTTCCTTTCACCACCATGGGCAACATCCCCAGCATCACTTGCATCATCCGCATCCTTGGTGGAGGTGATGCTGGCGAGCTGAGGATGCAGAAGCGGACCCGGGGAGAATCATGTTTTTAGGCAACTGTGTCGCAATGGCTAAACGGGATACAGGTTAGACATCACAGCAAGTAAAAAGTGTCTCGGAAAATCTGCAATTAATTACATGACTCAGCGTCCCTGATCCATACCCTTGCCACATGCCACCCAACTTTGTTGGCAGGTGAAACGACATGGGCGCATCTGCCCCTGGCGTGTCGGCAAAAATCCTGAGAGAACTTTGGTGACATTGTTGTACACACACACACACACAGCCAGCCCCTATGTGAAAAGATTAAACACACAGCCCTTCGGATAAGAGCTCACCAACTAGCTCCTGCGTGCAAGAACTTGCCAACTTGCAGCTCTGCCAAGGCACCCAATCACTCAGAACGCGGAAATGTTGGCGGAAACTCGGGCCCAACCATGGCCATTGCGGTGGAGGCCGGCCAGGCCATGCGAAGAAACGTCACGCAGCGCCCCCAGAGGAAGGATTTAATCTACGAAAAGGGAACGTCTAGGAATCACCGCGTGGTGCGTGGCCACCCCCCCCCCTCCGGCAATAGTCCGAAACCCTTGCCCCTGGGGAGGGGGAATCCGTTTGTTGTCGGCGATTTTTTGCCAAGCCACGCGGTGGTGTTTCGGGATCCAGGTGCCTACAGCGTCACGGTGCGAAGACTGGATGGTCCCATGGACTTGGGCGAGTCTCTGCGCCTGGCGTCTTGCCCGGAAACCAGCCTGAAATTCTCAGAGGAACCTCTTTGTCATTGTCCCTGCCCTGTTTTGGGGGTTCGTTTTGAGGGTGTCCTTCCGCAGTTTTATTATGTGTACCTGTATCGGGGTACCATTCTGACTTCAGAAATCTGAATCGTTGCCAAACACCCGCAGCGAACAGCTGGTTCTCAGAAAGCAAGCCAAGTTTTTAGGTGAAACAGTTGGCAAGCCCAATCAAGGGGCCCATGTCCCAAACATGTGTTCCACCATCACTTTTTGGGCTCCTTGTTTCTTTAATCAACCAGACAATGGTTGTCTTTAAGCGGGGAGGCTGGCCACTGATCGCTACCGTTCCACTTGCTATGAACCCTGTCCCGCGCAGAAGGGGAACTTCTAGCACAAGATGGGGCTTGCAAAATCGGGACCGTTCACTTCAAAATATCGTTTTGACACCTTTATTTGGGTGTCTTTCTGTTGAGGCGTGGGTTGGTTTAGAGTGAACCTTCATGAGAAGCAACAATTTTGGCTTGCTTAATTCATGCAGAAAGTTTAGGCTGTTTGGTGTTTGTTGGTTAGGAAGGCGCAACTTGATGTATCCTCCTTTTGGCTGGCTTACGGTTTCTAAAGGTGACGGATGTGCTTGCCCACTTACATTCACGATTTCCTCAGGGTTCAGCAAATCACACAAATGCTGGTGACCTCGAAAAAGGGTTTTGTCCACGGTGTGATGAAGGTTCCTTTAATATATGTTTTGTTCACTTGACCATGTTGGAGCCAACAAACTGCAGGGTACATGAGTTTTTGACGACCAGGGCATTCACTGTGCTCACCTTTGTGATTGGGTTCACGGTTCGAACGGGTGCAGGCCTAGTTGGAGCTTAGATCGTTCCAACTTGGAGATCCTTCAGGAACGATATCTATCATCCTGTGGGTGAAGTATTTTAATTCACCCAATTGAGTCCGGTTGGGCCACCCCTGGCATAAGGATCTTTAAACACCCATACGTTCAACAAACTGCCGTTAGGACATTGGAAGGAACAGAGCGTGTTGTGGAAGACCGCAGGAGTCTTCAACATGAAGGGAACCAAGCCGGGTCCACCGATTGCGTCATCCCAACCACTCGCGGAGATTTTCATCAGACGTGTGCTAAAAGAAACAGGCTCAGCTCCTCAATATCCGAGCTTGGGGCCCTGGATCCCGTTCTCGCTGCCAATTGGTTGCCCAGCTGGTTGACATTTTTGCGCTGGCGGAAGGCGCCCCTTAACCCCGAAAAAAAAAGGTCCCTTTTTGAGCGCTGGTGGTCATGGCTCACTAACAAACGCTAGGGATTCTTGGCAACGCATGTATGTTGACATATATTCCCCTGTTGATTGACATGCAACTTACAGACAAATGTACAGAGGAACTTCCACCTTTGTCGCAGTTGGGGTTCCAAACAAAAGTTGCACAGGGTAGCCCAAAAGACGCGGCAACCTGTCGGGAAGTCTCGGCTGAGGTCATGGGAACGCCCATTTTCTCGTTCATGGCACCTTGGACGCGCTCTAGCCTCGACTCAGGGCCAGCAAGCCTCGCAAGCTCCATCCCCAGATTAGGGAAAGAGGAAGGGGGTCCACATCTATTAAGTTGGCCCGCTTTTATACATGTCCCATGGTTTCTCTTGGCGGGTGCAAGGAAATCATGTACTGCCAAGGCCCCTCACGACTCATTAGGCGGGAGTCAGAAATGAGGCAACAGGTAGCCTGTGCCACTTTGCAAAGTGCAGGTTGTTTTTGTCCACTCGCAGCCTCACCTATGACCAAAGTTCATAGATGTCCTTATAGTAACTTTGGCTAAAAATAGATTCCCCTGGTTTCAGCTTGGGGCATTTGCCCGTGCCATCTGTTTCTCCAAAGGACACCTAGGTTTTGGTAGTCAACACCCATGACCAAGGTTCCTGTTTTGAAGCCCCTTGATCTTTGGTCGGTCAGTTATTCTAGCTCAGAGAGATGCAGTGATAAGCTGATAAGCTAAAATCCATGACTGGCACCATAGGTTTGCAGACTACGAGTAGGAGTTGGGCGTACAGTAATTCATAAAAGGCCATTTATGTCACAGGAGACTGGAACAGCTTGCAGGGTCTTGTCCCAACCCAACCCGAGGGGCCGGCGGTGACCCTCCCTCGTTGGGGTGAAACATCCGTGGAAATCGGCAGCTCAAATGTATTAGGTCCTTTTCGGGCAAACATCATTTTGCCCACGACTCAAATGCTTGTTCTTGGTGAGGGCAGTGGAAATTGGCATGCCCCCCGCAAGAAGGTCTGCCGCCTTGTTGAGCCACTTAACATGCTGCCAGTACCCGGTTGAGCTATCCTATCTTTCGCAACTGATTGACCCGCTCATGGCTATCCTGTCGGGAACGGGTCGCCAGAGTTGCGTCTGAGTTTGTATGGCAGTCGCCCTACACCGGTTGTGGTTGACACCACAGTTCTCGGCGATATGTTGGCGGCCCCTGAGCCATTTCATCAGTGCTGAGTTCTGTCACACGACGTCACATGTATTCTTCTCTTGGAACCCGTTTCAGCGTCGCTTTTTGTCTTGTCTTCCGTTGTGCTTTGTGACTTGTCTGAGTTAGTGATCGAGCCATGCAACTTGTTCATACTTGTTCTCAGCGGCTTGCAGCTTGCCTCCTTTTCGATTCATTTGTGTGGGGCCTTAGGTTTCTTGTCCATGTTTTGTGCCAGGTGTTGAATACAACCCTTTTCTCTCATTTCTCCTTTTTTTGTTTGGGTGTTCCCCCTCAATTTAAGATCGAATCGACCCAACAAGACATGGCGCCCTTCTGCTACCTGAGGGTGTCGATTTGTCCTGACGTTTTGTTCCTGAGGACCCCACGCTCTTCATGCTCACTTGGCCCTCCTGCGGAGCTTCTGGGCAAGAGACGTTCAGCGCCCTTTAACTGAGAATTAAGCCACCAGGGGGACCGCAGGTTTTAGCCCATGTTTCCATTTGCCAGGGCTCAAGCCATTTTGGGTCCCTATGTTTGACCCACAGCCAATGGACCAGTTTGGTAGGTGATTCTACTAATGTGGGGGGTGGTTAATTCAATCCCCCCCCCTCCCCTCCTCTCCCGAACAATGGGTCTGAATTGAGGAAACACTCCATTGCTTTGAGTTGGGCATTTCGCAGCACTTGCTCCGAGCAAGCATGCTGCCTTTCGGCAAGAGCTTTGTGAAGCAGGGGCCTTGTAAGGCACCATCAGCAGCAGCACATGGCAGGAGAAAGGCCTGAAAGGATTCGTCGATCATTTAGACCCCCCATACGGTGCCCATAATTGAGTTCTGGTGTTTTTGTGGGGGGAGGCGTGGGGCTGATTGACTTTTGTATTTCTGCAACAAGGAGTAGGAACAATTTTTGCAGTTTCAGGCTGGGCCAATTTTGGGGAGGCTTTGACGTCCAGGCAGAAGGCAGGGCAGGCGGCTTCTCAGGCAAGAGCTTTGTGAGGTAGGGGCTCGGGAGAAGCTTTCCCAAAAAATCCGACACCCTTAATCAATGTTCCAGACTCTAACTTCCACATTACCTTGTCTATATTTTATGAGGGTCGTAACAAGGCTTACAAGAACCATTAGAAACAACATTCGCTGGGTGTTGGGCACTGCTCGATCAATGTACTTTCATTTACTATCGTAAAGGGCATGACATGGGGCACTCCCAAACAGGGCTTTAATTCCTCTTCTAGCAGGGTCACTTGGCAACTGCATTTGTTTTTGCCAAACCCTTCCAGGTTGGTGAATTATTCTTAGATGACCTCACCAGCGGAGAAAGCGAGCTCACAGTGATGCAGGTCCTGTACGTGGGTGTCCCTTGTTTCAGGTTTTGGAATTCCAGCAGAATTTCTTGGGTTCCCCCAACCAAATGTAATAAGGGCCCGGTTGGGGTGGTTGCCAACTGTTTCAGGAGACACCATGCTGCGTAAACATCCGAATCTCGGCGAGGGCCGTTTTTGGAGGGTACCTCGACAAGAAGGTTGTCTTGCAATTGGACCAAGGGGGAACAACGCATTTCTTGGCATTCCTCAATTGAAAGCAAATCCATTCGGGCATTCGACCGCTGGAACCACTGCCGATTTCTGGGCCTTGCAGTCAAACCAAGTGCCACGCCTGGAAGTGGCGTCGGTTCTTGGCTATGAAGAAGTCATGTTTGAGTTTCCAGGCAGAAGTGACGAGAAGGTAATGGGTTGATCCTAAAGAAAGAAGTGCTCCCCCAGAAGGTGTCGTAGTTTCAAGTCACACTTCCTAGAAACAACTTCCTCACTGAACAACTTTCCAATAAATGTATAGGGAGGCTTCGCTGTTTTTTCACGGCCATAAGGAACAGCTTCCTGACCGAACCTAGCCCAGGTGTGTGCCGCTCCCATCGCAGCGCTGACGAGTGGGGTGCTTTGGGCGTGCCTCCGGCGGCGGCGGCAGAAGGACTCAGCGGGAAAAACGCCGAAGTCTCCTGGCCGTTTTTTTTTTTTTTTTTTGCCTTTATATATATATATAATAAAATATGTAGGTGAATCGCTGATGTCGAGGCTTATGGAATATGTAATATGACGGTGAATTGCAAAGAAAACCTTGTCTTGGCAACCCAATCATTTCACCCTGTCATCTTTTCAGGTGAGCGTCATTCGCCTCGGGGGCATGCGCCTAACGCTGGGTTGCTTCTTTGGACAGCGCTACTTCAGTCGATTCAGTTGAAGCGGAACTCCTGGTTGATTTGATGGGGTGCAGCCCATAGGGGATTGAATGGGAGAACTGCCCCTTCCAATTTGGCAGGTGAAGACTAAACCTTTGCACTTTGCCATGCACGAGGATCCTGTTGGAGGATAATTGTCGTGAGAGGACCCCCAGAATCCCTGGGTGAGAGGACAAGCCTTCTTTTGTCAGTTCCCACGTTAAGTCACCAACCACTCCACTTGCTTCTTGAAGAGAGGACGATCTTCTGCCGATCCAACATGTCATCCTTCTTTGCGTGCGCTCATTTATGCGGGGTTTGCAATTGATAAACGATGCACACTGCAGACCAGGTTTGTCACAACTGGGCCTCTTAGTTCGGGCAAATTCCCTACAACTCCTCCCCCTTGGCCCAGTGGCGCCCTTTTTGCACTTTTTTCCTTTTTTTGGCAAGGGTTCCCTTCAAACTCAACCAAGCAAAAAAGGACGTCGTATTTTTCCCATGGCCACTGGGCATCTGAGCCTCTTCGCCCTCTTCGCCGGCTTCGGATAGGAGGCGCCTGCGGCGCGCGCCCGGTCTGTGATCTCAAGCTCTCCCTCCAGCAAGATGGCTGGGGAGGCGAGAAGACTTTACTCAGTTTTCTCCGTGGCACCAATTCTTTGTCCCCATTTTTTTTGGGCGGCTGCCCCACTAAAAATGGTCTTCCCCAAAAGGGTTCCTTTTTTTTCCCAGGGTCACTGAACAACTGAGTTTAGGTTCGAGGTTTATTTTGAGGCCACCATGTCCCGTACGGATTTCCGGGTCTTAGAAGGAGCCTCCCAAAGATTTTGCGAGCCGACAAGAGCGGAACGTGTCAGTCATTTACTGTTTTTTGGACCTTTGGATGAATCAATCCATCCCTCCTTTTAGTCGCCTTTGGACATACCGAGCCTGGTTTTGAAAGCAACCTCCCTGACCCAGGATTTGTGCTGTGCCATAATATGGAACTTGCTTCTAAGAGTTAAAACTTCCAGACGAAATGGAATGATATTGGGTAGGAAATCGCGAAACTTGCCAACACCCCACATTAGGTTTTGAGAGGATCATACCTTGCCACCAGACTCATGGCAGCGGCCCTTTGAAGATATGTGCTCCTCGACAGTTGCTGGGCCCTGATGGGAGCTTACTGCAAATGAGGTAAAGCGGCAGTGCCAATCACGTGTCAGAAACAATCTGCCGATGTGCTTTTTGAGGGTTCACCTTTTGTGGTTGGCTTAAGGCGCGTCCAAAGGAAAATTAGGTCCAAACGAAAACCACCCAATTCAGTGATTCCCCGCTTTGAGACAAATCCACGCTTGTGTTCCTAGGTGGAATCACGCGAAAGGAACTCGCGAAGGTGTGGCCACTGGGGAATTTGATGAAACGGCCCGCCTAGGCCTTGCTGGGCCCGTTGCTTTCCTTATGTTTCTAGGTGCTATTTTTCCTGTGCTAGCCTAGCTGGCAAAAGGCAATGAGCACGATCATTCGCCCGTTTTTTGTTGACCTCCCAGAATTCGCTTCTCGTATTTGGCGACATCTGGTGAGGTAGCGCACCTAGCGATCTTCGCGAAGTGTTTGTATCGGGATCAGTGAGTCGACGCGTTCATTCCTGGCGCTCTCATCCCGCTTCGGAGACCCTAGGCATTTTGCAAAGAGGTAATTGCGCCTTAGGTGCGCACCCAGCCAGTGAGCACACGACACTTTTTTCCTTGGTGGCTCTCCCTTTTTACTGGTGGCCCAAAAAGTGTACACTTCTTTGGCCGGTCACTGGCCAAGTGAGGGTGGGCTTGGGGTTCCACCTGGTGGGCGGGGGACTTTCGTCAGGCCCCCACACCAGAATCGCCGGCGTCGAGAGGTACGACCAGAATCCTGGCAAGCGGTTTTGAAAAGAACCAGGGTGAAGGCCAATTCAGCTTTAAACAACCCTGGCCCGGTTCCCTTGACAGGGCCGGGGTAGAGACGGGATAGATGCAATCTGCCGTAGCTGACATTGCAGCAAGCAAAAGATGAATATGTCAAAAGAGGATGACGAAGACTCGGATCTAACCAGGAAACCATGCTACCGTTGCAGCGGGCGGTGCTTTACAACATATGTTTGTCAAAGCAAAGCTACGCACGTTCCCCGCGTCTGGTTACCTACGGACTTCCCTTTACGTGACATATGTCACTGCAATGGGGACAGGGTGAGCGGAGCCTTGGCAGTGTCCACGACATGTGGCACGAACTGTCTCTAGTGATCGAGGTCGGGGGCATTGGGAGGAGAAGAGGGGGATGGAGGGAGGTTGGGTGCTCGAGGTCTCTTTGTGCAGAGTAGAAATAGACCAATTAGAGAGGTTCATCGATTTGGTGGCACATGTCAGAATGGGGTTGCACAAGCTTTCTAGGCCAGAGATTCACTGTTGCTTGTCGAAGGTGTGCCGGAAACGATTTGACAATGCAAGCAGGGTTTTGGCCCGCAGTCGTTGTGACCAAGGCTTGTTGGGAGCCCCAGATCCGGCCGGTTAGCAAGGACACGCAACCCACGAGAATGAAAAGATGTCCACCAAAGGGGCAACATGTTGCTTTCCCTTTCAACTCGGTTTCCCATTTTCCGCCATTTTTTTACACATATCGCCCGTCCCAATTCAAAGTGAGTTGCTTTCGGCTGGTGTTTGGTCTATAGGAGATCTCGTTTCAATCAACCACGGTCGTCAATGAGGGCGTCCCATCTTCCGCGCCCTCTCTAGGCAAAGGTCAATCTGCAGCATGTGCTGTAAAGGGATCCACAAACGCTGACCAAATGAAATAGTAGCAAACCTTGCCTACCACAGCGATTGCTGGAAGCACGGGTTCGAATTTGACCTCACTGCCCAAGCACACCGTGTTGTTCGTGGGCAAAACAGATGCTGAATATCGAGACCTGCGACTCATACAACCAATCTTCAAATGACATGGCATTCATGTTTTGCAGGTATGAAACCAAATGGCCGTCAAGCGTCAAAGCGTATAGCTTCATGACTTGCCTGGGCGCACTTGGAAAGCATGGATCCGTTTTTCATTTTCCCGGTGTTGTTTGCAAGATCTCCCAAAACATGAGCTACTCGTGTGGTCATGACTCAGATTTAGATTTATGGAATCCCCAACTCCAAAACAATTCACAATGCTGACGTTCTGCTTCCCTGAGCCTTGTGGCTCGAAAGTAGTGGGGGTCACTGGGCTCATTAGCAACCACTGAAATTTCGATTTGCGTCAGCGCCACCAATGATGAAGTTGTTTTTCGCGGAAAAAACCCTTCTTTGACTTGGTGAATTTTGGGTTTGCTGCATTTCCTTCTGACATCCCCCGCTTTGGCCCTTGATCTTGCGCCCAGGAGAGCGGTTTGCAGCCAGTGGACATAACAGGAGCGCTCTCGGATTACGGGAAAACGGTTTCCGTTTGGAGTTTAAAGCAGGTTATCTAGATTCAAACAAAAAGCAGCAACATGGCATACACGCCCTAGGTCTCCACGAACAACCGCTGGTTGCAACTAAGGATCTCTCAGCCTCTTCTCAAAGGCTTCGAGAACTTTTCTTGTACGTGTGGACCAGTTCTGATTGAAAACACGGTATTGTCCTCAAAAAGGGGAAGCTGCCTTGAGATGGAGGACTCAAACGCAGCAACCAAAAGCTGGACCCAAGACCAGATCTGATGTGTGTGTGCTTGTGTGACGGGTATAGATGAAGACTAGTAAGATACAGTCCAGCCAGAAATAGGTGCGGCTGCTCTTTGATTCTTCACACAGTTTGGGCAGACCCCCGATTGTGAGTCTCAGAATTTTAGTGCAACTTGCGAACTTGAGAGGCCAGGGCCACTTTGCTCGGAAGAGACACAGCTACCTGGAAACGTGGTTTGAGATTGCCACTTTTTGCAACACTTGAAGGGACTGGCCAATGATTTCCCAGAAGGGCCCCATTTGCAAATAGACGCTTGTTCATTTGGAGCTTTGGGAGATTGGGGGGTTATGGGGTTGGGACCACGACTATACCTACTACTTACCTTGCGACTGGTCAGCGAGTTCAATTCAGGTTTATCATCAAGGGAGCGTATTGTAGGTGAGATTTGCATTGTGCCAACGGCCCAACTTCAATAGTGCCCGTCCGATAGGTTTGAGGTGCCTGTGACCCATTCCCCTTCGCATTGTTATTCTCATGTATGTTGAGCGCACAACGAGCAAGATTCTTGCACAGGCCAGAGACTCAAGGAAAACGATGCTCCTTACAATATTGTGCTAAAATTGTACAATTTGGGGTTATACCTGGGGGGGACACCTGGGGAACTCATGAAAGAACAGCATGGCCGCTTGTCGCGCCCATGAGAATAGGAACGACAAACTCCATTAATTTCGGCCCTGTGGGAGACTAGGGATCTGCGGGCCCATAGGACGCACCTGGAGAACCGGCGCACCAGCCTCACTGCGGCACTGGGCATGAAGGATCTCCGGAAGCGCCGGGAAGCCTGGAAATGGTCCCCAAGAACGGTTCCTCGGTTTCTTTCCTTTCGACATCGTCTAAATGTCAAGTTGTCAACCAAAAACTTTGTTTCCTTTTTGGTGTCCCTTTAATTATGAGCTATCCAAGAAAGGGGGGGTTCAATCCGATGTTGAGACTGAACGCACAATTTCTTGTTTGAGCGGTCCCCTCTTTGGGGTTCTTTGGAAGACGCCAATGGGCGACCTCACCGTTGGCCTTCTCAAGACTCCAAGTGGAGTTCCACAGCATTATCGTTGGCTCCCGATGGCATGGCGGGAGGTGTCCGGAAGGAATCGATTCTGCACAAAGTGCTTTGCACGCCTAGGCTTTCCAGTAGTGCCCTTTCTCACCCTTTTTCGGGGGAGGGTTCCCCGACTAAAATAGACAGAAACAATGGGGTACCCTTATTCTAACCTCTTTACTGGTGGACCTAGAAGCGGACAGCGAACAGGGAATTTCCTAAGAGGTCCTTGCGAAGGCGCCTTGAAACTGGAAGTTTGTCATATTTATGAAACAGCATTTGGAACAACTCGTGCAGTCAAGCCAGCACAAGCGCCTGCAGAAATTTGGAACCAGTGTCATAGAATGCAGATCAATGCACGAGCCTTGGTGATGAGCTGGACTTCTCTTGGTGAGTGGTGCCCGAATGGTTTCGTTTTCAACCGTCCGAGGAGGTTAATTCATGGCGGGCTCCCATGACATGGGATGCTGAGCCAGCCCGCCCATGAATCCATGAAGGTCTGCTTTCCTGGAGATTCCTTATCTCACCTACTGCTTCCAGGCATGATGGAAGGTGACCAGGGTTCCTTACCTCCTTGGTGGCTCCCAGCCATCCCCTTGGCTTTTTAGCCTTTTAGTGTTTGGTGGGGATTTCCATAACCACGAAAAGTTAAGCTTTTAGCAGGGGATCTGAGGGCAGCCCAGCCTCTAGTTGTACACGATGGTTTCCCCTGGTCACAGGCCACGGCAACTGGAAGCACTGGGTCAGTTGTTGGAATTTCGTGATCGTTTGCAGACACCAAAGCGACTCAGTCGTAAAGCTCCTCTTCCTTTTGGGACCAAGGGAATCATGCTGTCGCATTCTAGCTGCCATGGTCCAAACTAGGTGCCACTGGCATGCTGTGATGCCCCGCGGTCCAACTGCTGCCCTCCATCCCCAGAACTCCTCACTCCCCTCACCTCCTGGACCTTTTTAAACTTTTTGGGGTTTGGACCATTTGAGTGGGGAAAAAAGTGAAATAAACAGTTTGGGGACTTTTCTTGTCCAATGAACCCGAGAAGTAAGACTCCTTTCACATGTTTCCGGAGCTTGCTGGTCCTCCTCAGGCCTTACCAAAAGGCAGAAGACCATCGAGCTACACAGCAACTATCGCCTGCAATGAATGGGACGGCTTGGGGGATAAGGGTTTCTGAACCAATGAGATTCTTTAAGAGCCCAGTGATGCTTTCAGTTGTTCTGTGGCGCCATGCCTTTGCGTTTCTTGGGTGGAAGTTGTTTGACATCCGCCAAGTTTGCTTTTGTCCCTGGCCTACTTGTACAGTGAAGGCAAGGGAACGCACAAGGTGACTTCCTATTACCAGCCAGTTCTAAGATTCGCATGTCTGGGGGGTTCTGACAATGAGACGTTTGCACACTGATTGCTTCCCGAGATTCTGATTACAGACAGTTGGGCACTTGTCAACATCGTCGCCTTCTCCTTGCCTGCGTGAAAGCTGTTGGTCCAGGAACTGGCACACATGTGGTTAGGATGGCTTTTCTTGTGCGAACATGGGTCTTGTGCACTAAACAGCTTGTTTGAAGGTTACTCCGGTGCAAATTGACATGGAACCCCAAAAGGTCCAGCAAAGGGGAGTTTTACTTTCTCTACAAATGCGAGGTTTGTGTGTGAGTGCGAATGGGCGATTCCATGTCATTCTGCATTGCCGGGGGGTAAAGCTTGATTGGGGAATGGTCCAAGTCCACGTGGTTTTTGCCAGGATTTATGGGTTTCGCTAGTTCGAACGGGGGGGGGACTGGGTTGATAATCGGTTTCGCTGTTGATAGCTTAGCCGCTTTAGCACGCGGCACATTCAGGTTCCGCCGATGAGCCAGCGGAGGCCCCACAAGCCCCTCGGCCAGTTGGTCAGAGTGGCGATTCAGAGCCCTTGTTTGTGTTCGGGTGTTGCTTCCAAGCACGGGCCCGTTCTGGACCCGGGATTTCAAAGTGTTCAATGGATAGAGGCAAATGCTGTGAGGGGAACAAGGGCCTCATCAAAGTCAGTTAACCAAAGGAGGCGTGTAAGATTTTCCATTCGTGGGAAACCTCTCACATCTAGTGCAATTGAACTGCCCTCATTTCCTTTGGGCGTCCAGGCCAGCTGCTAGGGTTGGTCCCTAGGCTGATAATGTGTTTGTTGATTAGAATTTAGAATCCAGGAAGGCAGCGGGATGTTTGCTTCAAGCTCTGATGAGGCGAACGCTCATTTCCCCCACGTTCTGGACTTTGTACTTTTTGGCAAGAACATGCTAGTGGCAAACAAGAATTTTCGTTCGTTTTGGCCAACCCGCTCAAGCGAGAATGTGTATGCCTTTTGCTGGACAAACTCCATCCAACTTGCAAGAGAAGTGCTAGTCTGTATTCATCAGGGTTGGGAGTAGTAAGATGATCTCTCTTTGGACAACCATGGGTCCTCGTTTTACCCTTTTCGATAGTATCCTTGCAGTTTCACGGCTTTGTTTGAACGGTTTCCCTGAAGTCGAGCTTTGTATTTGGGTGAAATCGTGACCCTGCGATCCAGTTGGTTCTCCTCAAATGGAGCCTCTTGCAAGGGTTCGCGTAGCGGCACCTTTTGAATGCCTCAAGGTTGATCCGCCCAAACCACAAGGGTAGCAAATTCGTTTTGGGTTCTTATAGGTTCCACCCTTATCGGTTCTTGGGAGCACCCCTGTCCCTGCTTGTTCCTCGATTGGTGAATTTCCCGCTTAACCCTTCTGTTGACCGTAGACCCGGTTCCCTTCTTTTAGGGTGGGCAGCCAGGTTCACGGCTCTGGCACCCGGATTGAATGTTGACGTCTTGTGCAATGCAACTCCAATATCATCCACTGTGAGTTTCTCTCGTTGTTATCAACCCAAACCACAATTTCTACTTTGAGCCACCTTGTTTAACATTACACTGTTTTTTCAGGCTGATGTGTTGCCTCTTGCGCTGGCGCAGTTTTTGATTCTGTCAATCCCCACACACAACCATGACTCTAAACTGGGGTATCCTTTTGACTTGTTCGTTTTTCTGATAGGCTCAAAATGCGCCAGAATCAAGCTCATGTTGTTTGGTGGGCAAACCCTGAGCTTAGTTTGGCAGATTTCTCAAACCATGAACCTTAGAACGGGTTCTACCCTCCAACCAATGAACATTGAACCTGACAGGGGGTCCCTTTAGAAGGAAGATGGTCTTCCAGGACCCCCCGAACGTCAGGTTTCACGTTAATTGGTGGGAGATTAAGACGCTTGTCGCATGGAGCAATCGCCTTGCGACTCTCAGGACATGGTGCAGATGTCCGAAGTCACCTAAACTTGCAGGCGCTGGTCGGCTGGTCGGCTGGCCGGGTAGGATGACATCGCTTAAGCTTTGAGACAACATGCTGGGTTGATCAAAATGTCCATTACATGGGGTGACCATTAGGGGAAAGCACCGGAAAAGATGACTTTCACTACTAAACGGGAAGACATATTATTGGTCATTTTGCGGCCGGGAACATTGAGCAACCCCCAAATATGTGTGTCTTTGGTTGGGGATCCTCTTAGGTGACAGACTTATGGGGATTGCTCATGTTCGTAGTGTCAGAACTTGAGTAGCAAACCTCTGCGTAAAGACGCTTCCGGTGAGAACCCAGCCGACTGCCAGCCAAGACTACTTTAAAGGCGCCCAGAAGGCGTGGCCAACAAAAATATTCAATTTGTTGGGACATTTCCCAGAACCCGCTCTGATCAAAGGCGCCCCTTTCCGGCCCAACACTCAGAACAAATACAACAAATACTTATAGTCTGGAGTTGGTTGCCATTCCAGAAATCCAAAAGCGGCCAGCACACAGCAAAGTGTCTTATGACATCTTGTTCAACAACAAGGTTTGACCAACTCGTGGCTACCCTGACCTTCGAAGCCAGGCCCCTCCCCAAGAATAACACAAACAACCCTCTGATTGATCAAGTCTCTCTCCAGCCCTGGAAAATAGGCAAAACCCATTTGCTTTACTTTCTTATTGCTGTATTGGCAAGACAGGTGTCCACACACGAAAGGACCGGAGAGGACTGACCAGAAATCCAGATAAATTTCGAGGGAGCCCCAGGTAAACCCCCAAATCCGGCTTTCCCAAACCTTGTCGATGTTCTTGAAGGGGGAGTAGTTTACTAGGTAAGTTCCAACACTATCACAGAAGTGGGTCATGTTTACTATAGACAATGGGCATGAGATCAGCTTCACCCGGCAGGTCTTCCATGATAGGGAACCAGGTGAAACCACCATGTACAAAGAAGAAACCCGAAAGGGCCCGAGAGTGGACACTGCAAGTATTGGGAGCAGCATGGAGTTTGGAGACGCTGAGCCACTCGGAAGACTTGGTCCGCAGCCTTTCGCTTCGCCGAAGCGAGTCACAGGCAAGACTGCGAGTGAGACGAGGGTCTGTGGCATGGCCAATGCTTATGCTTCTCAGTAAGCCACCATCTTTGCAACTTTAGGGTTTCGGAAATGGCCCTTAGTTGGGAGGGGCCTTTCTCTTTTTCACTTGAGCAGGGTGTATTGCCGGGTGGCGGCTGCGGGAATGCCTTGTCAATATTGTTTCTTGTTGTTTGCCCTCGGTACACCGCACATGGATGTTTATTGAGTACTGTCTACCCAGAATGTTGCTTGAAAGGTTTGCGCAATTCAGTCGGCCATGGGTGTATGGAGCTCCTTTTCAGGAGCGGCATGTTTAGCGGAGTCCACACGCATCGCTGAATTCGCTGAACCCGTCAAAGACGGGCGCAGAGGCGTCGCGCTTTCGAAAAAGGGGGCAGTGGATGGCCGCTCGCAGATTGGCCGGCCACTACGTTTGATCTAGCAGAGCGCGCAGGGTTGAAGCAAAATTGTGCGCTGATAGAAGGTAATTCGAAGCAGCGGTCTTCCCAGTGGAAGGGATTAGTGACACGTTCGAAGGAGGCGCGCCACATTTGGACCATGCCTGTGGCTCTTTTGGGGTAGGTGAATTCACCACCCATTTTAGAACCTATTTTGGTGGGGATTGGGATGTTCACTAGGGGTATGGGCTTTTGACCCCTGACCCCTATTCCTCCAAAGAACAGCGTGCCCTGATGGCTTTCTCCAATGGCTTGATGTGAGAGCTGTGCGGTCAACTAGGCCCTTCCAAACAGAGACTTGGGCCAGTTCCGCAGCTGAAGGTGTGTTTGAGCTTGCGGTAAGATGTGATTTGAGCTTGGAAGCGTCGAGCATGGCTTGCTGAGGCTCCCTTTCCAAAAGCAATCGGGTCTTCAAAAAGACTTGCTGAGTTGACTGGCCAGAAAGGTCATTGCACTTTTGGGCCTTGACTCAAATATCTGAGTGAATTATAACGACCTCACACGACCTCACCCCAAATTGTGGTTTGTGTGGGGAATAGCCCCCCAACCGCCTTATTTCAGGTTGGTGAAATGTTATAATTCACACACAAATATTGAGAGAAAGGCCACCGACAGAAGTAGCTTTGCCAACTCGGCAGGGAACAAAGGCTTCCATGTCGGTGCAAACAGCGAGAAGCGCTGGTCATGTTCAATCGAGTCAACTCAGCAGGTTTCTTCAGAGTCGAAGGAAGGGCTTTACCAGTGGTTTTACTCAGCATGTTTGAACCACACTGTGGAACTAGCCTTCTTGCACCCTTCAACAACTACTTTCTGGACATGCTACGCTTGGGGTTTGAACATGACATGGAAACCGCAGAGGGCATTTGCCAAGTATTTGAGTGGGCTATTCCCAGCACAAACCTGGCTTATACACTGTCACACCTCACGCTCAGTCACCCATCTACATTTTCACATGAGTCCGAAGTAAGTGTGCCAGCTGAATTTGAAGCTGTCATCGCATCCTGGGCAAGGATCAACACGTTTGACGGTGAGTGTTTCCGACAGAATAGATTCAAGTTGCTGCGGAGGGATACTCTTCTGCAACCTTGATCTTCAAGGCCGCTTTTATTGTCCGGGGCCATGATGGTGGGCGTCAGCAGAAAGGCCCTTGCCGGCCCAACCTAGTGCTATAAACAACCTACGGCGAGTCTCAGAGGAACTGATGAATTCGCAGGGATGTGGGTTGTTTTGCCTAGTCCCATTTCCTACTACCCTGCTTGATTGGGGATTCTCTCCTCATCCCTGCTTCCCCCGCATCCCTGGCAACCTGTTTCCCCTCGCTTGTGCTTTTTTGCTCAGCAATGATCGAAAGGCTTTGACAAGGCCATTGCATCGAGGGAATGCGTTTGAGACCTGGCATGATGTGTGGCGGAAGCCCAAGCAGGTTTTTCTAGTTATAGAAGCCTCATCTCCAAAACTGCAGCCATGAAGGTGGCTACAAGAGAGGCAATTCGCAAGCAACCCCAAGGAAGTCGTCTTGAAAGGCCCCGCAAGTGCCTCTGCACCCTATCCAAGGCTGTCCACTCCGCCCATCAGGCGCTGTTTTTTTTTGTTTTTCCCCCGCCTGGCCGGATCGAACGTGCCAGGGAGTCCACATGAGGTTTGGTCAAAAGAACCATGAGTCCATGGAGCATTTGAGGGACATGAAGGGGCTCACCAATTTTCCCACAGCACAGAAAACAGGAGATGCACACCTGGGGTCAAGCTTGATTTCCTTGGATGGGGCATAGTGTGGCAAGTTTGGAGAACATGTTTCACCAGGGCCCTCTAGAGAACCCTTGCGCAAGCGATTTTCAACATTGGCTTCCGACCGCAGGTAAGCACTTTCGATGTTCTTTAGATTTGTTTTCTTTTGCACCAGGCTGAAGTGGTATTCTGTACTCTCCTAAAGGGTCCAGGTATCCTTTAAGGATGGTTGTTGGACTTGCCTAGCCATGGAGACCGGATGAGCAGCTGGCAACATTTGTGCTTGTTTGTGGTGAGTTTGGGGACGACATGGAGAGACCATGCACATGTCCATACTTCCCGCCAAATCAAAATAGAGCCCAAATAGAGGGCTGCCCCCGAACAAGACAACATGAGTATGATTGCTTTTGATTGCTTTTGATTGCTTTTTGCTTGCTGTTGCTTGCTGTTACTTGCTTGGTTGGTTGCTTGCTTGCTTGCTGGCTGGCTTGCTTGCTTGGTTGGTAGCTTGGTTGGTTGCTTGCTTGCTTGGTTGGTTGCTTGGTTCGTTCGTTCGTTCGTTGGTTGGTTGGTTGGTTGGTTGGTTGGTTGGTTGGTTGGTCGGTTTGTCGGTTTGTCGGTTGCTTGGATGCTTTGCTCAATCACTTGATGCCCAGAGTGGGCGCAATGGGAGGGAACTCCATGTTTCTCAAGTTGTGCCTTTGTGAGGGCCTTGTGCTTGTGGTTCCTGAAGCTTCCTTAGACTTGGAGCTGCATCTCTAACAGCAAGCCACACCGTTGCACCAGTCAGACATTCGCCATAGGCACATTCCCATCCCAGGCAACTCAAAAAGAGTTCTGTTCTCCAAAAACCAACAAACAACTGCCTAGTAAAGTTCCATGTGGCTCCTAACGGTTCCAAACGGTTCCTAACGGTCTTCTTGGCTTTGGGTTCGTGTGATTTCTGCAAATATCACCAAAGCTGATCTTTGTCAGGGCTTCGGGCGTTTCAGGGTTTCTGTGGGGTTTCTGTGGGTTTTCCTTGGATTGTTGCGGGGTTTCCTATTGGTTTTGGACTGCTCCGCCCCGTTCCAGGAACCTGGAAGCTTTGATGTGGGTTTTTGGGTAGGGTTTAGGGGCTCTTAGGGCTTAGGGTTTCTTTTGATATTTGAGGGGGAGGTTTGGGTGGTTCAGGGGATGCTTCGTCTCATTTTTCCACTGGAACCTTCCATTTCCATTCTTTCCCAATTATTCATTCTACAAACCACCGAAAACCCTAGGGAAACAGATCCGGTTTTTGAAAAGAACGATGGTTGACAAGAATGGACCAGGAGTCAACCCCTAGAAATTTGTGAACACGTATGAAGCTCGGTCAACATGAGCAGGTTCATTTGGGGATAGACTCAAAGTTTTCCCACGGGAGACGATTCCCAATCCCACGCCGAGCTCTCCGAAGGGACACCTTCCAGCCACGGCCGCCCGGGGGCGCGAAGCCTCAGCTACGGCTCGGCGGCTCAGTCGACAAATTCGGCGGGGGTGTTTCTGCTTCCCCCCCCCTTCTCCCCCCCCCCCCCCCGAAAAATAAGAAAACAACAACACAATGGGTGGGTGTTTTTTTTTTGTCTTTGGGGGGGGGTACACTTTTTTTGAGTTGGTTCGAAGAGGTCGTACAGGGAAACTGTCCATCTCGGTGTGGGTCTTCCACTTGGTTTCCGGTTGTTTTGGGGCGTACCCTAGAAACTTGCTGGCTCGATAGGTAGGGAATGTGGGAATGAACCCAGGGATTCCCTCAAAGGACAAGGGATGGTTTATAAGGGTCGTTCCCTCATTCCCTGCTGAGCACCAGGAAGTTGTTAGGGTTGGTTTAGAGAAGGATTACAAGGAAACTGAGGGTTGCCCTCAAAAAGATACAAATACTGCAATGACAAATGCGGGTTTAGTAGAACCCCTGTCCATGGCTAGAGGGCACTTCAAGAGTTCAGGTCAAAACTTTTAAAACCTGGGACATTGCCCTGTCCAGAAGCAATTTTGGTCTACAGGACCACCCAATTGGGTTCCATGTTAGTACACTTTCATGTGAGCAGATGCCACAATCATTGGTGGTCTAATGTTAGTTTGGGAAGAAAGTGGATACATGGTTCCCACCCAAAGGTTCCCACACACACACACAGGGGCCCACCCGACTGTCCTTTTGGGGAAACAAGTTTAGGGCTTATGTGATGTTCGATCAAAATGTCCAAATGTTTATGGCCAAACTTGGCAGTACGTGGGACTCCCTCTCTAAATTCCTACAAATCAAGGGTCTAATTGACTCCTGTCCATATAAAATATGGCACAGTTTGACAGTGGCACATGGCATGATGTTTTACAGTTGGGTGAAAGTAAATGTCACGATTCCCCTCCCCCTTTGGTTTCATCGTTCTTGCCGGGGAACTGTGCCATCCATTTTCACCCTGGTGTTCGTGGACATAAAGACTTTGGTGAACATCATTTACATAAGAGGATTTGGCTGCGGCTCAGAAACATGTACGAAAATGGCACCTTGGCAAATGGAATCATTAATTTCGAGCCATACCCATTTATGTCCAGCAACCACTTTTCAGTGTGTTCCAACCATTGGCGTTCATGGCATCCCGTGTGTGTTTGCTTAGGGCAAGCCAAGGGGCCTAATGAACCCTGGGGTCAAGGAGGGTTATCATGGCCTGTCCACGGGCCCCTTCCCGAATTGGGCCGGGACATTCGACCAGAGACAACTTATAGCCGCAATGTTTGGAAGGTTCAGTCTTAGGTGCATCCCGGACTTCGGGGTGGTGACGTCTAATTCACCCACGGTGTCCCCGGTGCAACACCTGCAGCAGCTCTTTCTCAGGTTTGTGCCAGCAGGCGAGTCAACACAAAGCAAGACTCTGCCTGTCTTTTCTGTGCGATGAATCAGCCTGTTTGGGCTTGTGTGTCTTGGATGATGGCACTCAGCTGTTCAGCAGAAGCCTTCTTCC